TGTTGAAATGGCTTTGTGAGACTACCATTTTGAATACTTTTTGGAATAAGACAGGGAATAAATAATAAATAAACATGCTTTGGTGATGGCCTGGAAGAATTCATTCAAACGTATTTATGACTCAGAAAGTAGGTTAATCACAAGTAAAAATAGCATATCAAAAGTATTACATTTTTCCATCCTGATATTTAATTTATTATACTTCAAAGTACTCTGAAATTTTGCTATATACATACATTTACTTAGAATGATTCAACAGACTTAGAAAATAAATTCAAGCTTCCTTCAAGTGAGAACTTCCCTAATGGAAGAAAACATTTTAAGCTTTTTTGAGATTAATTTCTAAGTTTTTTAAAAATTTTCTAAGAGAAATAAACATTGATTTTCCATTCCTGGTTCACTCCCCAAATGCCAGCAACAACTGGGGCTGGGCCAAGTTGAAGCCAGGAGCTGGTAACTCAATCCTGTCACCCATGAATGGCAGGTGTACAACCACTTGAGTCATTACCTGAAGCATCCCAAGTTGTGCATTATCAAGAAACTGGAATTGGAAGTGGAACTAAGACTCAAATCCAGTTATTCAGATATGGAATGTGGCTGCCCCAAATTATTTTTTAACCCCAAATTTCTAAAGAGATGGGAAAGTAAAGACTAGTAATGTTATTATTTTCTGAATATGAGGTTAATCTGGGTGAGAAGTAAGACAAGCATCCATGTGAGGTAAAGGGTAGCAGCTAAGAACTTAAACTCCAAAATGAGAGTTATTAGAGTTCAAAATGTAGCATAGCTACTCCTCATTGTATGATTTTGAGCAAATCACTTAAGGAGTCTGTGCTTCAATGTGTTGGCAAAATACAGGCAATAATGACAATTAAATCTTCCCCTGGTCTGGTTCATGGTAAGAAAGCAATAAAGTTTGATGGTATCGTCCTCTATATCTGTCCTCAGGGAGTTCTGAAGCAAGAGTGAAAGATGGGCATTGCCTTTAATGTCCTGTTGTGCTTTGTTTATTGGGGCAGGGGTCAGACTACAGACATCTGTTAAAGTAACATACTACTAATGGACTCTTCTGTGCTGCAGAAAGATCAGCCTCTCAGTTCTCCTAGCCATACTGGAAGGGTTTGTCTTGCAAGGTGGTTACAGCCTATGACTTCAGCACCAATGTTTGCCCTAGGCCAGTAGAATCACTTCTCTGGATGCCACCTCAGCTTCAGGGTGCTTGACAGTATGTGCCCCTCATCACAGTGATGGTTCTGTCTGCCTCTCTCCCACTCCCAGGTGCTAGGAGGAGTTACCTGCTCTGCTTCCTGGGATTATCTACCATACTGTAGGTGCTGAAACCTCAGAATTCTATGCCCAGAGGTCCCTAAGCCAGTCTCCTAGGTGTTAATGGGCCCTCTTGTTCAGTTTTCCTTCCTGAAGAGGCTCAGAACATCACTGGGGTTTGCATCCCTCATCCTGAAGTATGACCAGGAAACCCATTTCCAAGGTGGGCAGGTTGATGGAAGTGGCACTTGGGGGCACAGTCCCCTCCTGCTTTTGTGTGGGGCCTACCCCATGATGGGAAATGTACACAGGCAGGCAGCGCCAGCTCACCCAACAGTGTCACACCAGGAGCCAATCTAAACTCAACTTGCCAGCCTTTTAGAAAACCTATTAAAAGGTAGAAGGGCAGAACCTATAGTAGTTTGTTCACTTGATAAATAACTGTAAAACATTGATTCTGTAATATCTGGGAGCAAAGTGATTCTGCCCTGGGCTCACCAAATGTCAGGTGCAGAACTGAAAGAGGTGCCTGTTGCAATGTGCCCTTACAGGAATAGGAATGCAGGAAAAGAAAATTTCAAATTTGAGGAGCTGGTTTCTCCTAACTGCATCCAGCTTTCAAATTGTGACACTCGGTAGGTACCATTATAGGCCTGATTTGCATAGAAATAACTGTACCTACATGTTTGTAACCACTTCCCAAGAGCCCACTGTGACCAGAAATGTTCACTGACGTAATCTTAAGAGTCAAAATCCCATGACCTCTCCTTCCGTGGTTGCCGCCTTCTTTACTTCCCGTCCCCTGCAAACTTCTAGTTCAAAATATAAGCCCTTGGGGAGTTGTATCATCTGATTTCAAGAGAAAATCTGGAGTATAAATAGCTCTCAAAGATTATTTGATCACTCATTGAGTGCAGGGTCAGGTTTCACAGCCTGCTGCTCCCCCATCAACACACGGCCCGTATTTAGGAACTCTTCACTTTCAGCTTTGCTGACCCCACTGGGACTAACAAAACAGTCATGCCAAACACTAGTGGAAGCGTATTTCAAAGGTCAGCAGTGATAATATTTTACACGTGTGCTCCATATCTTTATTTTCTGAATAACGCATTTTAGAATCCCTAAGGAAAATGCACCAGTTATTTTTTTCACGTGGTACATTTCTCAAAATTTTAATAGTACTCACAGCATCAACAATGGTGCACACTTTTCCCCCACTAACTGGGATGAAGATCAATCCTGCTCTAGAGTGGGAAGTAAAGTTAATTTTAATGTTTGAGATCTTGTGCTGTTATCCCAGCTGCATGAATGTATTTCAAAAATGATATAAATACAGTTTTACGTTTTAGTGTCATCACCTAAAGTACTAAAATGGTTCACATCTTAAATATATAGGAAAATTGTTTATGATAATTATTTATCCACAAAAATTCAGGATGACTGTTCCTTATGCTGTAGTTTTCTTCTAGCCCTGTGTAGCATGGTTAAATAAACTTGAGGATCCCTGTAGTGTTCAGAAGGAGGAAGACACAGGGTAGGGGAAAAGGCAGTGCAGAGGAAAGCAGGTCACCTTTCTACTTCTCAGAACACCAATACTGACAGTGTCTCTGGACCTTTGCACTTGCTTTCCCCTTTGTCTGGGAGGTCTTTCCTCAGACTTCCCCATATGTTCTCTGACTTTCTTCTCATAATTATTTTCATTAATGTCACCCTCCTTAATTTCTTTTTGCTCTGTTTCCTTTAGAATATAAGGGCCATATGAGAGGGATTATTCTCTTTCAATTTTTAATTACTTCATAGGTTGACCATAATATTTCAGTATCTAAAGAGTACAGTGTTTAGATTCATAAAAGCTAAAAAGGCAGTTAGTTGCTAATAGAACATTTACCATATTCTAAGACCAGAATATGATTGATAGTGTCTGTAAATATTAACAGACAGTTGAACTTTTATCTTCCATATGATTTTTAACCCACATGAGAGTTACCACAGAGTGTTCATGAGTGGGGAAAATATCCTTTCTTAGAAGAACAAGTAGGCACAGAGAGGGGAGAGAGAGATTATTTTAAAGAAATGGCTCTTGTTTTTATTGAGGCTGGCATGTTTGAAATTTGCAAGGCAAGGCAGCCAGCTGGAAATTCCGGCCTTGGTGCTGCAGTCTGGATCCTGAGGGCAGTCTAGAGGCAGATTGCCTGCCACTTTAGGGAGCTTTTTTTTTTCTTAAAGCTTTCAACGGATTCAATGAGGCCCACCTACATAGTTCTAGAGTGATTCTGCATTACTCAAGATCTACTGATAAAATTATTTCCCGATTGTTGTGATTTCTTTATATGAAGAAAGGCTCACACATTACAGGGCATGGGGTAAATGAGTAGAAAACCATTGTATCATGAAGATCAAAGGCCCCAGTGCCCACTATGAAACCCCTAGCTAGAATGTGGTTGGGGGTAAGCTCTTAGCTCAAAGTGATGATCTTTCTATTTGTTCTTCCAGGATAGATATGTAGAAGGAGAACCATTCACCATTTAAGACATTTTATGTGGTTGTTTATAGTAAAGTAGAAAGACAAGTCTGACACTTCCCAGTATGGTCTTGGAGAAATGAAAGGCTCCCCATTACTCCTGAAATTGTCGTCGTCGTGCACCCAAGGTGCAGATGGGTGGGGACAGGCATCTTTGCTGGACTCATGCTATAAAATAATTTTGTCTCTAATCTCGTCCCCTATAGTACTTTCTGACTTGAAAAAGATTCCTTTATTCTACTCTTGATGCTATAAACTCAAGTGTAACAAAATTTTAGCCAAAAACAAAGTGCAAAAAAAGCTATAAACTGATTTTAGTATCACACTTGAATAGAAAAATTGGCAAACACACCCAATTTTGCCTCTGAAATTTTCTGTTTCTAGCTTCCCATTGAAACAAATACCAGCTTCTCCCAAATAAGTAGCCAAAGAAGTAGGGCCATTAAACTGTATGCCAAGGAACAGCGACTTTCACCTCACAAAGATTAGTTAACGTCATTTAATTCAGTAATAGCTTCGGCCAAAGAAGCTTCTAACCCTCCTTAAAGGATCATGTGGACCATAAAGTACTAATGAAGTCTTACTGCTACACACCTGTGGGGTCCTGCACTTGGGCTACTGTGAGGATGTGTGGTTTGTCAGTGAGACAGAGCCGGGACTTTGTGCTGTTAGCAGAGATCTGTGTTGTGCTCCTGATGCGCTATCATCCTCTCCTTAGGTACAGGAGACAGAGGTGCCTCTGGCAGCTGCATATGTACTGGCATTGGGCTCGCCCACCATGTTGGTGTCAGTGGTACCGACAGCAATGCGTTATGTCAAGCAAAGCATGCTTCCATTCTGTTGAAAGGCTCCTGGAAATAGCTCTGCATAGTTTCAACCCCTTTATTCTATTTGCTGTAGTCCTTTCCTTTAACAGACATGTATTTATGAATCCTCTTCCCTCTCATTCCCTAGTTTGATCAATTATTAGAATAGCATACTATTGACATTAGTAGTCTATATGTCCAGACTGGTATCATTGAAAAGCTTCAAATGCACAGGTCTATTCTTGCTTCCAGGAAATGATGATATTGAGAAATTAAGAGCTTTGAAATGTTACCTCACTTCTTTCCTTTAAATAGCTCATATAAATAATGGTCAGAGACAGATATCTTTATTTTAAATCTATTACTAGTTTCACTTTTTTTCTGATGTTGAATCTGAACTTTGGCAGACGGCTGCTAGACACCGAAGATGAGCTCAGCGACATTCAGACAGACTCAGTCCCCTCAGAAGTCCGGGACTGGTTGGCTTCTACCTTTACACGGAAAATGGGGATGGTGAAAAAGAAACCTGAGGAAAAACCAAAATTTCGAAGCATTGTACATGCTGTTCAAGCCGGAATTTTTGTGGAAAGGTAAGTGCACTGTTAGTATCTCAAGATAATACTGTTTGAAAGGCCGCAAATATGTTCACTATACCAAAGTTAAAATAAGTCTTAAATGAGGAAAGGCACAGTCATAATTATACCAGATTAGGGATTTTATAATGAATCTACTATAACAAAAATGCCTTGTTCTGAACGTATCAAGTTGGCAGGAAGATTGAAAGCAAAAGGTTTTGAATAACCATTATTCTCACATGAGCCTTTGCAAATAACTATTTAAAAACAACTCTAACACATATGAATAAAATATAACATCTCAAAAATAAATCCTACTCTGGGTAACAATCTATATATCAAAATTATGCAGGCCTTTTTTTCTGTTCTGAAGAAAAAAAAGACCATCTTCAAATCATCTTTCCATCATGGAAGGAGATTTCTCTAATTTCAACTTAGAGGAGTTTTTCAACATTTCTGTCAATAAAACAAGTGGTATTCATTGGTCCCTAGAACACAGAGTCAAATTACAAGAGTTTCAGTTGTGAAAATGCATGTTAACATGACTCAATTTTATGTTCGTTAAGCTCTAAAGAAAGGTTTATTTTTTCTAGGTGCATGTTTCAGAACTGAAAAAATAAAAAGATCCAAAAATAACAATCTTATATTTGACAAAGTTAAAAATTATCAGAAATTCCTTATATTGCAAATTTACATTAAATTACATTACAAAATTGTATTAATATTTTAAAAACTAATGAAATTGAGGAATAGAAAAACATTTTTTGTCCACATACTTAAAACTTAAGTGAGACCATATCATTTCTCATCCTCTCATATATTACGGCAATACCTCTAAAACACTACAAACTAACATTTGTCTTTCAAAAGAACAATTGAAAGACACTTGGGTATTTTTATAATGCAAATGAGAATGCATTGCAGGAGGCAGTGCATACTGTGAGATTTAAAGATGTAACCTTAGCACACACAGCTGCTAGTATCTTGGCTTTTGGTTGTATCCCAAAACAGCAGAGTGAATATTCAAATTATTTTGCAAATTTATTAACCTTATCTAATTGGCTCAGATTAAAGTATCCAAAAAGTAGTTTGAGCAGTTTGGTGATGCGATCACCACTCCTAATGGTGCATTAACCACCTGAGTTCTCGACCAGGTAGGACCAGAAGTCTGAGGCAGGGAGGCAAGGCTGACGAGGAAGTTTCTTTAATTATATTCTTGCTTTTAAGAACAACTTCGGCAAGTGCGTGAGTTATGGTTTCCCCCTGGCATCAAATCTTAAAGCTCTAAGCAGTATTTCAAAGGGTCAGTAAGAGCATCACAGATGGAAGAGCTGATGTTGGATTTGCTGACGGAATATTTATATTGTCTTCTTTGTTAATGTGGAACTTGGCAAACTGAGAAGAAATACAAACTGATTTTCCAATTCTTTCCAAGAGAAAGTTAAGAAGAATGCCATAAAGTATACTCACATCCTAAATATCCATGTTTACGTGCTCTGTAAAACACATTTCCTTTAAAAGCCTCTAGAAAATATCAGAATGTTCCAAAGGTAACTTAATGAGCAATCTTAAGGAAATCAAGATACTAAGAATATATGGAAGTGAACGGTTTTTATCACTAGTGGATCTCCAATGGTAAGTGCCTAAAAATAATGAGACATGTGTACCTGGAACATTAAAAAATAGTTATCTTCAATCCTGCAAATTAGGGATCTTTCTTGAAGTCTATGGCTTATTCCTCTCAAGATTTAAGTTCTCAGTAAGGGCTGGCAATTAGTTATCTAAAAGTATCCTAGATCTACTCACTTCCTCCTGTTAGGTCCTGTATCCCGATTTTAAGCCATCATCATGCCATCAGCAGTATGACAGCAGCTTTTTAAGTGGGCTCCCCTCTTCCTCATTCACCTTCTCTAAACACACAGTTTTAATATAAAAACTAGCTCCTGTCACTCCCAGACCACCCGATGCTTTTCCATTTCCCTTAATCACAGACCTTGCCTGAATAGCCTGTTTACCTTGTAGCTTCGCTGTGATGGCATCATTGTTGACTGAACATCTATGCCAGCCGATTTCAAATCCAAAAACATTGCTGAACTCTGTCCTGCCCTGGAACCTTTCATCCTGCTATCCCCCTGACAGAAGTAGTTCTCCCGACCCTGACACAGGGCTGACTCTGATTTTCTAGAGGATTTCTCATCACCCTCTGTGCTGATTCTCACTATTGCTGTGACCAACCAGTGGTCTACCTTATAGCACTTAACCACTGCTTCTCATCAGAGACCATCCCCGGTATATTTTTCTCTTCATCATTTTTATAAACCCCTATGAATGTAGTCATATTTCCCTTGCTTTCCATGAAATAATCTGTCGCCTAGTACAGACAGTATCTGGCACAAAAGGGGTTTTTAAAAGTTTCTCAAATTATATATTATAATTACAGAAAAATTTCAAGAAGTAAAATACCATATTATCAGCTTGATTTTCATAACCTGTGGGAGCCTAGGAAAATCATTATTTTTTTTCAGAAGCTTGTAATGTGTCTAATGATTGAAGTGTAAGGCAACTGGATTAAGGTGTTTCCCACACTCACCCTGATTCTAGGCTCAGTTGTCATGAATTTCCATCTTAATTTCTTATGTCTAATTTTTCATCCTAGAATTTTATGTTTTTAAGATTTAATTTATTTGGCTGGCACTGTGGTGCAGCAGGTTAATGCCCTGGCCTGAAGTGCCAGCATCCCTTATGGTTACCAGTTCTAGTCCTGGCTGCTCCTCTCCCACTCCAGCTCTCTGCTGTGGCCCAGGAGGGCAGTGGAGGATGGCCCAAGTGCTTGGGCCCCTGCACCCACATGGGAGACCCAGAAGAAGCTCCGGGCTCCTGGCTTCAGATCGGTGTAGCTCCAGCCATTGCAGCCATTTGGGGAGTGAACCAGTGGATGGAAGACCTTTCTCTCTGTCTCTACCTCTCTCTGTAACTCTGTCTTTCAAATAAATAAAATAAATCTTTAAAAAAAAGATTTAATTTATTTGAAAGGCAATGTGTCAGAGACGGGGGGAGACACAAGAGAATAAGATCTTCCATCCACTGGTTCACTGCCCAAATAGCCAGGGCCGTCAGGGCTGGCCCAGGCTGAAGCCAAGGTCCAGGAACTCAATCTGGGTCTCCCACTTGCATGACAAAGACCCAAGGACTTGGGCCATCCTCTGCTGCTCTCCTAGGCATATTATCAGGGAGCTGGATCAGAAGTACAGTAGCCAGGGCTCAAACCCACACTCTGATACAGGATGCTCATGTTGTAGTTGGCAGCTAAACCCACTGTGCCACAGTGGGTCCCCTAGAATTCTATTCTTGATTATACAATTAGAAAGGTAATGATAATAGAAATGTTTGTCTACCTTTTTGGAAAATTAATCCTCTTTTTCTTTCTTTATATTCCATATGATGGAAAAGTACATTGAAAATCACTGCTCAACCTACTCTAAACTCAGTAGCATCACATTTTCCCACTGAGCCCAGGGAGCTCTGAACAATGTAGGAATTGGAACCAATGGTATTGGCTACAGACTAATGAGAATAATTAAAGTAATGATTATAATGGCTCTCTTATATTGAGTACTTATTAGATTAACCTAGGCATTTATATCACTTACTCTCTTCAAAAAGCTTATAATTATTCTCATTTTACAAATGAATGATATTAAATAGCTTTCCAAAGGTCACACAGCTAGTGACTGGCTAACTTGTGATTCAAAGCATGTGTTCTCTTTTGCTGTATCATGCTGCCTTTCATACCATGAAGTGAAACTGATTTAATGTGAATTAAATGTTTTGTTGTTCCTGATTTTCATATTGAAAATTACCCTACTTGCTACCCTTCCATTTTCCTTGCACCTTCTCCATTTAGTAAAAATGACTAGAAAAATAGAAAAGTCTAGTTGTTTAAAAAAATACAAAAAAACAAAAAACAAAAAAAAACCAATAACACCCACTGTTGACAGTAATTACTTTCTAAATCTTTTGTCATGGGATTAGTAGTTTCCTTGCTCTGTAAGAAGTAAGAATAATTATACCTATCTTAATGGCTATAATTAATATATTTTTATTTATAAACTGCTCAGAAATCTTAGAAGAGGGATAAGAATAAATTTTTTTTTTGTCTCTGATCACCCACACCCAGAAATGATTTATAAAAATCATTTAAAATAAACATAAAACTAAAGCAACAGTGTCTCTGGGATAAATTGGGAAAATAGTTGATTAAGGAAGCGTAGGCTAGAGATCTAATTAAACAATATTTTAATTCTGAACATGCAAGAAGATTAAAATTAGACATGATCAATTACTTGGTTTTAGTTTTTAAAAAATGGCCCTTATTTAGAAACTATTTAACATGGCTCACAGATTTTTACTATAAGGTTCATTGACTTGAAAAAGATTAATGTCTTCCACAGGCATTGTGGTGGGAGAAGTTGCACAAGTTAATCTAGTAATAGGCTAACTTTTTCTAAAAGTTTAGGAACATGATTAATCAGTTGAATTGTTTCTTCCTAGGATTTTGTGGAGGAACCATGTAGCTATCAAAGTCCTAAACAGAAGCCTATGCTATTTCTACACAAGTGGCTACTGCATTGATTTTTATATGAACCCATGGAGGGGGTTCTTTTATTTCATTTACGTCATTTTGGTTGTCCATCAAAAGGTGGAAAGATCAAATAAATCCCTGATTAATAAAAATATTTCATGGATACTATTACAGAATGGAAAGAACAGTATTTTCTTTCTGAATAATCTTTCTTAAATCATATTGAATGACAATTTGAACAAGCAAGCAATTTTTGCCGACAAGATCTCCCTGAATATCCTTAACAAAAAAAGTTATGTAAATTCTGATGATGCTACATGTTCCCTCTTACAATTTCAAAAAAAAATCTATAAAGGAAATATTTTAATGACATTCAACTTCAAGACTAAAAATTGTGGCACAAAAATAAAATTCAGCTGTTATGGATATGGTAGAACATTAGAAAGTATTCTTGTGCCATAGGCAGAGTACAGTCTTCCTTTTTAATAAGATTAAGTCCAGGAAAAAAGATCTTCAGACGGAAACTAAAATCACATTAACTTTATAGGCTGGTTATGAATAGATAAAATACTGTTAACATTTGCCTAATTGTGGATGCTTTATATATAGTGACTACAGTTATCCTTGGCACAAAAGTTTGAAACTAGTGATAAAAGGTGAATGATTCAAACATGACCTGTACCTCTACATTTAATACATAGTTGAAAATTTTGAATAAATGATTTTATATGCTTATTTTTTTCTTTTTTAGGATGTACAGAAAAACCTATCATATGGTTGGTTTGGCATATCCAGCAGCTGTCATAGTAACATTAAAGGTGAAATAAATTCAATTATTTTCTTCCATAGAATAGTCATTTTAAAAATCTTCTAATGGTTAGGAGAAAATGAAAATAGGTCTCTGTTGCAGCCTACATAATGGAATGTAAAAAATATTTGTACCATTTACAAAAGGCAGTGAATTCTGAACCATGGACTCATTGTAAACTTGAGGGAGGATATACGTCCACTGACAAACTGTATCAAAATATATGCATCTGTGTGTGTGTGTGGATGCGATTTTTCCCATCATGTTTTATTTAGGTGGGTCTTGAATTCCATCTTGAGCTGGCTCTAGTACCTGTGAAAACATAAACATACTTTGTTATGTATATTATTGAAGAAGTAAATGCATCATAAGTTAATGCTATTGTGAATTACTTTCAAAAGACAAAACATAGAAGAAAATTAGACTTTCATCTCTGAAAAAGAGCAAGATCCAAGAAATTTAAGGGAAAAAAAAAATCCATCTCTTATGTCTGGCTTCCCCCGTTCTGAGGCCCAGTTGCAGAATTTTACTCTGAAGCTCTGACATGAGGAAAGTTGTTGGCTGTCTTGTCTCCACGGTGTGTGCTTGTGATGATATTTCTACAGAGGCACTTGATGGGCTTATTTCTCTAAATCCCTCATTTCTATGACTTGATTTGGTTGGGGAAATTCCAATTTGTCTGACAGCTTCATCGTGGTTTTCCTGTCTTAACTCAAAACCAAAAGGATATTGGCAAGAAAAGTCCTTGGGTTGCCTTATTTCTGATTTATTATACTACTTTTCTATTTTACATTTGCATGTCTTTTTGTTTTTAAATTTCCTTTCATGTATCCTCTTTGCATTTGTCCCTCCTCTGCTGCATTAGATTTCTGTCATAATCTACAAAAATAGTACATTTTTCTTTTTACGTTTAGGTCTCTAAAGTTGTAACACAGACAAGTATATAACTGAAATGTCACATTAGAGAATACTAATTATTCCTCAGTTCAAGACATCTTGTCTTCCCTATTATTTCCTCAACTATTGGAAATTATTTATTTTTATTTTCTTTATTTGGATAATCTCTGCTTAGAAATCAACTAATGAAAATGTTGGTGTGAGAGAATGTAATAGATTTTCTAAAATGTGTTATAGTAAAAACACGTGAATGCACACTTCCAAGGAGATGTCTGCAAGTAAAGCAATTGTCCTCATCTGTCATAGTTTACAAATGTAAATCTTCATTGGGAGACCCCTACTTGGAACTATAAATAGCAACCTTTGTAAGAGTTTGAACTGTCTTCCCTGTTAGTTTTGAAATTCAATAAAAGATGTTAGTCTCATTTGAGCTTTACTGGTGGTAAAACTCCTGCTAAACAGAACTTGTAGAAATTTTTACTTTACCAAAATATAAATTAAGTGGTTGGGAATGAAAATGCAAGATTTTAACAATGGTATTCAGGCAAACTGAAAAGTATTTTATGGATGTTTGTTTCCAAGTGCTCAAAGGGGCTATTTGAGGCAATTGCTATTGTTTTTCATAGAATTCATTTTAAAAATAAACTTGAATACTTTTTATCACATAGTTAAATTTTTATGCACAGAGAGTTGAACTCTAAAAATTTGTTAAGCAAATGAAATTCTAAACTGTGCCTATTTGAATTCAAAATTAATATGTAGCTTTAAGACTGTGAGCAAACGCTAGGCATTCAATGCTAACAGTTTCTGATCATCTTTTAAACTGGCAACTGTGATTCTTTAGGTTTAAGCAAAATCAACAGGCATCTGGTAAAGTTTGCCGCCCCTGCTCACTGTCCTCTCACACTGTTGTATGTACTTTCCTAGTGCATATTTGCCCAACAGGCCTGCCTGCTTCTCTAGGGAACTGGATGAAATGCCAAAATCACCATCCTGCAACTCAACCACAATGCCCACTTTTTCTCACCATCTGTCCCTAGAGAAAGGTGATATTGGAAGTGACCCCCTAAAATATATACGAAAATGTGGGGTGCCACATATGCTATCGAAATTTGGGGTGCCAGACAATATCACCATATGCTTATTAATAAATCCCCAATATTAATAAGCCCAAGAGGGTTCTTGCCTAATATTTAGAGAAGAATTCTAAATAGTGGCATCAATAAACAAGGCAGCATGGTACATTTTAGGCTTTTATTTAGTGAGAAAGATACATAGAAGAGTGAGAGCTTTATCTAAGAGAGAGAGGGGTAAATCTGGGTTCATACCGAGCACCAGGAACCAGCCACATGGAGGAGCATCTAGGCCAGGAAGCCTAGGGTGGGTAGTCCGAAGGCCACGTGCCATGGAGGCCCAGGGCTACAGCCAGCCCCCTCCTGGCAAGAAGCCAGGGAAAAGAGAGAAGGGCGGGACACACCATGTCTCAGGCTTTTAACCTACTTCCAAAGGGGAGTGGTTAATTAACCTGATTGGCCGCTGGGCACTCAGGTGTGGCCAGGTAGGGCATGAGGTCACACAGGGGTGTGGCGAAGGGGTGGCCTTCCAGCTCACAAACCTAATCAACTTTAACCATATGCCTGCCTACTTCATTAGGTATACGTGATTTAGCCAAGGTTCAAGTAAGCAGTAACAAGGTGGTATATACTCTGTCCATGGTGTTTGCCTCTTAAAAGAGAACATAAAATATCACAACTTAAAGCCAAATGGCTGGCTGACTGTTACGGTGAAATGTTAAGCAATGTAGCAGGTGGTGAGTGGGAAAGAGAATTTGAAGCCCCCTTCCTTTCTCCATCACTTGACACTACCAGGCATTCTACCTTAAAACAAGAGCCACTCTGGAAAAATGATTTATGGCAGAAAGTTGGAGAGATTAAAGGTAATAGTAATATTATAGTGTTATCTAGTTTATTACATCATTTTAATAACCTTGGAATAAGTGGGAAGATCTCTGTGCTATATTAAGCATTATGGGCTCACTTTTGTGGACTCCTGGATATTAAGTGGCCCTGTCATTTCAGACTATAGTAAAAATATATTGTGACATGCTGAATTGAAATATGACCTGTCATATGTACAATTCCTAATCTTTCCGATATTTTCTGTAGAAATAAATATTGCCACCTGAAATTTTTATTCTTTTTGTCTACAGGATGTTGATAAATGGTCTTTTGATGTATTTGCCCTAAATGAAGCAAGCGGAGAGCATAGTTTGAAGTTTATGATTTATGAACTGTTTACCAGATATGATCTGATCAACCGTTTCAAGGTCAGAAACATGGGACAAAGTGAAATGCTGTTAGATTTGGTTGCTTGAATAAGAATGAAGATGCAGAACATTGAGTCACCAGTCAATTCATTTAGAATTTTCCTAGTTAGCCAGTCACAGAACAAGGTGGATGAATTTACCACATGGTAGAAACATCCTCCACAGCTTGTATATCCTCCTGGAGATCATGGGGCCAAGATGGCCTCATCCCAACAAGATACCAACATCCTCAGAATTGCTCATTGAACATTAATGTAGAGATTGGAAGCCATGTCTTAAAGAAATAGTATAGATCTCCAGGGTACCTAAAACATTGAATGAACCTTTATTGGTAGCTTTGCTCAAGCTTATATAAAGGGCTTCTAATTGACTTCATTTAGAGCCATCTAAACAACAGAGTTGGTCCAGATGTCTGAGCAGTCTGCAGTCCTATAGAACTATGGCATTTTTAATGCCAGAAATACGAGAAGGGGGTCATCCCTTTTAACCCTCTTATACTACAGATAGAAAATTTAACTTCACCTTATGTAATTGGAGATTTTTACCCCTTTAAGAACTGGTCGTCTTATTTGACTCTGAAAGATAGAAACATTTAAAGAACCATAGTGTGGATAAGATTGCTATTTAAATACTTGGGAGTTACGATCACTCATCTTAGGTTTGAAGGTTTGAAAGCTAACACATTAATGAAGTCATTTTTCAGAACCATCTACATTGAGCTTAAAGATATCACTGCTTATTTTGCACTCACTTCCAAACATTGTGCCACTTTCATAGTCAAAATTTAATCATAATTATTACTTTCCACAGATTCCTGTTTCTTGCCTAATTGCCTTTGCAGAAGCTTTAGAAGTTGGTTACAGCAAGTACAAAAATCCGTATCACAATTTGGTTCATGCAGCTGATGTCACTCAAACTGTGCATTATATAATGCTTCATACAGGTATTATGGTAAGAACATCTTTATAACTGAAGTTTTTTGGTTTGGAATCAACAAATTTCATTCTCCCAATCTCCCACTGTCTTTTTTTTTTTAATATTTTACTTAATTGAAAGGTAGAATTACAAACAGAGAGGAGGAGAGACAGAGAGGTCTTCTACCTGCTGATTCACTCCCAAATGGCCCCAAAGGCTGGAGCTGGGCCTATCTGACACCAGGAGCTTCTGGGTCTCCCACATTGGTGTTGGGGTCCATGCACTTGGACCATCTTCCACTGCTTTCCCAGGCCATAGCAGAGTGTTGGATCAGAAGAGGAGCAGCCGGGACACAAACCAGCGCTCATATGGGATGCCAGCACTGCAGGCCAAGGCTTAGCTTCCTGTGCCACAGCCTGGGTTCCACCCCCATTGTCTCTTTAGTGCCCATAGAAGCATTATCAGTAATAATCTTTTGGATTTTGAGGTTTATTGAGTTATTTAAAACATTTTTCAAAATGTATTTTAACTTGGTGAGAAAAAAAAAAGATTATTTCTAGGGATACATTGCAGTATATGAGTTTTTTTAAAATTGAAGCATTGTACTTTGTGTTTGTAAATTTTCCTATAGGAATTAAAAATTTGACCCAGAGAAGGAGCCTTCTAAATAAAAATTAGGATGCTTTCTCTTTTTAATTATGCTCTTCTAAACTTTGTAGATTTTTCTTTTTCTTGTGTTGCTAGTTATCAAATTTTAATTGGGATTTGGGGAAATTATTCATGTGAATTCTTCCAAATTCTCTTTCCTCTTCTTTGCATATGAACAAATCCTGTATGAGTGAATAAATGATTCAACAGTGCAAGTACTGGGGTGACAGTGAGTAAAACAGGAACTCTGAGACAGCTTCAACTTTCTGTAATGTCTTATATCTCAGGATGACCCTAAATGTGAAGGGGGGGCATCTTTTTTCTGAAGGTACCAAAAATAAGGGGGTTCAAAGGGATATGAGCCAAGTGAGATTCCAGATACTGTTACCTTCTTGGTTCCTCATCTGTCAATGTAGGCTGAGATAGTTAGATAATAATGTATGTAAATGGAATGTTCTGCTTCACCCCATAAATATGCACTACTAATCTCTTAGGGTTTGGGAAGTCCAATCCTTTCTACTGGCAAGAATCATTAGCACTCAGGTCTGTGTACTTTGTATTCTTTGGAGTCCAAATATTCTCAATACTTCATCATTCTCCAATGGCATGGGGTCCTAAAGATCTTGAAAACTCCCAACAGGTACATTTATCACATACAGAATTTTTCCTCATCATGTCATCTCCCCCAAGAAAGAGTACCTTCTGGTTTATTACACATAACACCCATTTGCTATGATTTGGTCAATAACGTCTCATATGGTGACTGAAGAAATTATCTGTTCATCTTTTTCTTCCTAAATGTTCCAGATTCATCAATGCTTTGGGCCTAGATCACACTCCTGTCTCTTCTTCCACACATCTATTGATCCAAAGCAAATCATTCCAAAGCATAATGGATTAAAATCATATTTTAGTATTGTAGGGTATTTAGTAGGGTCTGTGGTTAGAATGGACCCAACTAGAAAGCTGTCATTTGGGGTCTGTCATGTGATTGCCACCAGTCAGTGACCATGACTGATGACATCTGAGGACATTGCTAAACAGGATATCCAATGGTTCACTAGCGTGGCTGTCTTAATCTCACTGCAAATCTATAGAAATATATATTGTATGACAAGTTCATGAAGTCACATAACCTGCTTGGGAGCTAAGCCTTACCTTTAGGGGGACATAAATCTCAGAAACTTCACAAGACAGTGGCAAAACCCTTCTTGTGACCTTCTGTAAAGCTGAATTAGATGTGTTGTAATCAGGTACAATATGTTTCCCCATTTAATGCAGACACAGACACCACTCATCTAAAGTGTAAATGGGCTAGATCAAACACATCCTGGCTAGTCTCAGTCCTTGACTGAAGTTTGTTCTTCCTTTATTTCAGTAGTCCAATTTGAAATCGAAAAGAGGGCAACAGTAGTTACTAGTTATAAGTACAAATGCTAACATTCTATGATATAAAACTATAGCCTAAAAATATTGTAAGCCTTTCAACATAGTGTATGTGACCTTCTTTACCCGTTTCCCATTCCAGAGTAAATGTGTGCACACACACTCACCAAGATTACTTTAATGACCTTTTTGTTTAATATGGCTTCATTGTCATAGCTGTCCTTGAACTCATTGTTTCTAGTTTGTCTTCACAGGAATATACGATGCATATTAAACAAAGTGCCTCCTGGCAGCTGCAGATGCTGTTATACTTGGGCAAGTTGCTTCAATGCCTTACTGCTTAGAGCTGCTTGCTTTTCCTTAAGGCCTTTGTCCTGAATCTGATAGCAATTGTCCTGTCATGTGCTTGGCATTTCCTCTTTCCTGAAAGCTGTGACTTTGAAGAAATTAGCTGAAAATGAGATATTTAAATATCACTGAAATGTAAACTGAACTGAATGCTTTTCTCAGAACAAGATGGAATGGAAAAGCAATACTTACTTCAGCATAAAATACCTTCTTTAATTATGAAATACAATGAGAAAATATATACCATTCAGGATTAGAGATAAGAATTTTATCATTTTAAAATGTTTCTATTTTAACTACACTTTTGCTTGTTTGGTTTGACACAAGTGTAAGGGGTTCCAAATAAAATGTCTTATTTCAACTTCTGATGTCTGCTCAGAAGGTGACATTGAAGAGGTAGGGGGTTTCAGAATGTTTGTAGAAAATGCCCGCTATGAAAAAACTGTCCATGAATAAAATTTTTGCACCAAAATGAACTTATTTTTAATCTCACATTTGCACAAACTTGGACATTCTCTAATATTACTGGGTAAATAGAGAACTTCAATTCTACAATGTGATCATTTTTTACAAGGGAGATGTTGCAGAACAGAACAAACTATTCCCACTTCCTTGGGAAGCTGGGAAATCTGGCCCAGCTGGCATGACTGTTGGAAAGTTGAAGATGTTAGTAAGGTTCACGTAGGCACTTTCTGAGAAGGCCAGGATTTACCAAACATTGTTATTTCTCCTAATTCAGCAAGATTGACTTGGAAAGTTGGATTACATTTTACTCATTCTTTTGTAAGAATGTGTCACAGGCTGTTTACTCATCAATAGTTTGGCCATTATAAAAGTAATGATGGTATGGCCGACGCCGCGGCTCAACAGGCTAATCCTCCGCCTTGCGGCGCCGGCACACCGGGTTCTAGTCCTGGTCGGGGCGCCGGATTCTGTCCTGGTTGCCCCTCTTCCAGGCCAGCTCTCTGCTGTGGCTAGGGAGTGCAGTGGAGGATGGCCCAAGTCCTTGGGCCCTGCACCCCATGGGAGACCAGGAGAAGTACCTGGCTCCTGCCATCGGATCAGCGCAGTGCGCCAGCCACAGCGCTCCGGCCGCGGCGGCCATTGGAGGGTGAACCAACGGCAAAAGGAAGACCTTTCTCTCTCTCTCTCACTGTCCACTTTGCCTGTGAAAAAAAAAAAAAGTAATGATGGTAGAACTTTAGTGTTATCCAGGACCAATAAAATATATTTAAACAGAAAAAAATAAGAAACTTTACAATAAATGGTGAAAGAAAAGGCAGAATGAATTAATATGTTGATACTAGTCAAAGCTAGGTTACACTGCCAATTTTCCTATTTTTGGGATGTTATTTCAACAATCTTTTCTCTACGGGGAAAAGTGGTGTGTGTTTTTATTTTCATGAATATGGGAGTGTTAGTTCCTTGAAACAAAATAGCATTGTAGAACGTTCATTTAGCTAAAACTCTTTATCCTTCCTCACTGCCCAGATCCGATAAGACACTAGTCAGTTACTTTGTGTCTTAGTTGGTGCCCTGCTATTTCAGGACAGCGCTATCAGTATGATATTCATGGAGCACTCCAGCGGCAGCCCAACACTGGCAGGTGACTAATACATCCTGTCATCTGCAAGATATTCAGGACCACAGCCTAAAAGGGATTGCAATGAAGTCATTGTCTTTCTGTTAATGTCACAAGGGGTACCAGCAAGCCTGAGAGTAGACAATACAGACAAGAGTTAAAACTAGCAAACCTACTTCCATTTTTCTCCTTTTGTCACTTAACATGTAGTCCTGTGCCATGGTGACAGTGATGTATAATAATTCAGTTCAGCCATTAAAGATCAAAGGCTTTACAGAACTGCCAAACTCCTTCCAGCTTGTCATCTTGGACTTGAAAACGTACACAGGCCTCAGCCAGAGAGTACATGCCTTTTAGGGCTCCTGACACTCCTGCTTCTAACCGTGAGAGTAGAAGAAATAGTGATGATTTGAAGCTGGTTCCTTTGGACCTTTTAGTACACTGACTACTTGTAGAAGTGGTCTCCATGCTTTGAAATGATTGATTAGGAAAAAACAATCTACAAAAAATTTGAGAGTTTGTGTTTATTCTAAGAACTATGTGGAAATGTTATTCCTTTAAATTGCTTTTCAACCAATGCTGTTTGGAAGAGTGGCAAGAGTGTGAGCTTAGCAGAAAACGAAGGAAGTAGAAGATAAGAAGTAGCAGAGCATGGTTTCATGCCTAACTCACTAGCTTGGTTCCCCACCACTAACTTTTATATATATATATATATATATATATATATATATATAGTCAGTAATACCAACTACAATGGCAATGAGGAGTCAATAAAATCATATTTGTAAGGCATCTGAACTAGTGCCTGAAACATAATAGCTATTAATATATACATTATTTATAATTAATTATAATTTACCTGTTTTCCATACTGTAACTTTTAACAAGCTACCTCAGTCTATGATATGAGATAGAGAAAAGTGTCCAAACTCATAACTTTGGGAAAAAGTTGTTAATTAAGCTCTTTTAGAGACATCAGAAACTAAAAGTCAATCTGATTTTCTGTCCTGAAATTCTCCCACCCTATATATACACACACACACAGTGAGAGAGAAATTCAAATGTGAAATTATATTAAAAGTTTTAAAGCAAAGCTCTATTAGCTTTTTTCTGTGTATATACCTGCTAAGTTACCTAAAAATGCTGCTTTCGAAACTTTAGAAGGTTCAACACATTGTCTCTCTTGAAATGTGAATATTATTATGACCCGTAGAATCAGATTTTGGGTTGAATTCCTGCTCTGCCATGCTATGTGCCCTTTGTCATATTGATCCAAATTTTTAGGACTCAGATTTATTATCCATAACATTAGGATCAAACGTTTACCTAGTAAATAATATGTCATTATAAGACCTAAATGAGACCACTAACTGAAGCATCCAGTTAATGCTAATTTTCTCCCCTTCCTTTATGTCATTACTATATATGTTGTTGTTGGCAGCTCATACTGGTTTATAATGCAATTTGAGGACAGCGCACTTTAAAGACAGTGTACCTGAGCATTTCTGTAGGCAAAAAAAAAAAAAAAATGTAATCTACGGTACAGATGAGCACACTATCTTGATTGGTTATAACGTTATTTCTGCTCATTGGAAATCAGAAGCTCAAACTTGCACCTAAGATATGGTTGGGAAGAGTGATATGATTCAGCCCTGTTCTCTTTGGCTTGTCTTCACAAATCATTTACAAAATCCATGAATTTAAACATCTATTTTTTGAGTTATCATTCTCATTTAACACAAGTGAATTCTCATTTGATGTAGAGTGAATGAACAGCTAAGGAGTTAACAATCAATTCAGAATTCCATTCTCATTAATACAAAATAGACATGTCTTTCAACCAGGCGTGACAATTTGTTATTTCTTCCCAAACTATTCTGTAGTATAAACTTTATAATTAAGGCCATAGTGTGGCAATAAATAAGTAGAGTTCACAGACTAAGTGCTATTCACGGGAGGCAGAGATTAATTAGAATAAAACCAGAAGATGCATTTGTAATTAAATTTTGACAACTGGAAGATGATAATTTCAAATACATGTGAGCTAATTTGTAATTAAATTCCATCTCAATTTTCTTAATATTGCAATTTCATATCCTATATTATCATAGAAAACATTGTTACTTTTTGTAAAGCCACAGTTAAATCTGCATATTCATAACCAATAAGACATACTCTAAGAAATTAGGTGATTTTTTTTTTCCAGGAAACAATTTTGTCTAATAGAACCATAGGTTTCTTGGGGCACAAACATTGGTTTAACTTCAATTGCTATTCATTTCATGGTGTTTAATTCCACTGTCTCACTGGGGACATTGGAGGCTCAGTCCCAGCTCAACCTATTACAAAGGCCATAAGTAAGGTCGCTTTCCTCCTTTTAATGACTCACAATTAACTGTGTATATAAACACAGAACAGCTTGTTATATCAACTCCCTTTTGTTTTGAAAATCATTTCTGCTTTAGTCAGCCAGTTGTGAGGCATTTATCCTTTAATTGCAATCATTAGAAATATGTTAACAATTATTCTCCAGATTTAATGCCTTGAACCATGTATTTAACATAGTAAGTTAGTGAAAAGACCTCTTATCCCATATTTTACTATATGACAAGATTCTGGACAGGTGCAGTTAACACATTGATTCTCAACCACTTTGAAATCTCACGGGGAATGATTACTAAATTTCATATTCATGAGAATTGCAGCGAGAGGGTAAATAGCTTACTTTCCTAAGTATCCACAGGGATTTAAAGTCAGGGTTGTCTGATCCTGCAGTCTCTTTTCACTATTCCCTACCACTTATTTCTTGTACAATGCGATGAAGCTCAATTCAACAAACATTATGTTTCTATTATGCACCAAATACCATAATAGATTCTTTGAAGGGAGAAAAGATTAACAAGACTATGTTTTTCACAATTGTGAAAGTCAGCATTGTTGCTGCCTTCATTTTTGACCCATAAACCTACAATGTCTCTTCCTTCTTGCCTTTCATACAAATCCAAATTCATCAGCTCTATTAAAGGTAGTCCATCAACTCTTCCTATACTCTTCACTTTTCAATCTCACCTCGTTAGACCATCCAACACAACTGTACTTTCAGCAATGCTATTTCAACAGATTGTACCTTTAATCTTTGAATTTTTATCAAGTGTTCTTATTATAATATTCTTCTGTTGTTTTGTGTAAAGTTTAATTTAATTGTTTCAAATATATGGAATAAGACCACAATTTTGGATCCTCCATTCCTACCATAAAGTGTCATCTCTATAGTGTTGTCCAATAGAATTTTATTCAATGATAGAATAGTTTTATAAAAATGTAGCTAGTATCACTGGGAAAGCGAACTTAATTATACTTATTTTTAAGTTGTCAAATGTGGTTATGGTTATCATATTAGATAGCACAATGAAAGTGTTTCACAAGATATAATGAATAAACTATTTAATTACTTCTAAATAAACAGAAGAAAAATTTCATTAAGCCATCTAGTTGGTAACAGAAAGATCAGTCTGTATGGATACATGGTCCAAAATTAAGTGAAAACATTTATACTTTGCTTTATGATTGTTAAATTGAATTGCAATCATATAGGTGTTATGATGAAAAACACTGAATTCTCAGAAACTCTTCTAATCTTTAAATGTAAAAATTAAGTCCAGGGGCCAATGTTGTGGTGTGATGGGTTAAGCTGCTGCCTGCAACACCAACATCCCACATGGGCATCAGTTTGAGTCCTAGCTTCTCTGCTTCTAACCCAACTCCCTGCTAATAGCCTGAGAAAACCTGAAGATGCCCCACATGTTTGGGCCCCTGCAGCCCTCATGGGAGACCTGGATGAAGCCCCTGGCTCACAGCTTCTGGCTGGCCCAGTCCTGGCTGTTGCTGCCATCTCGGCAGTGAACCAGAGGATGGAAGATCTCTCTCTCTCTCTCTCGTTCTCTCTCTCTCTCTTTAGTTAGTTGAAAGTTACACAGTGAAAGAAATTTTGAAAGAAACCTGCTAGATTTTATATGTTTAAATATACTAAGTGGACTGAAAACTTTCACCTTTCTAAATATGATGAAATCTTTCTTTTATTTACCAGCACTGGCTCAATGAACTGGAAATTTTAGCAATGGTCTTTGCCGCGGCCATTCATGATTACGAACATACAGGGACCACAAACAACTTTCATATTCAGACTAGGTAAGCTGGATAAAATACTAACTTACATAAGTTAACATTTGAAAGTGTTTCTTTCTCATATTACTTATTTTAAGGGAATTAAAAGCAATCAAGACTAATAAGAAAGGGTTTATTAGATTTGAGGAAAATTACTTCAGCCACAAATATGTAAATAGCTAATTATTATTTTGCAAGAACCTTACATAGATTGTGTGGCATATTAAGCATTTTAAGGAGTTTAAAGAAGTATAAGGCAATTCCTCTCTGCCCAGAATTTATACTGTGAGCTATCACACAACTCAGACTTATCTTGTAACATGTAATTTAAAGCATTGGTTCTGTGTCATTATATATTTGAAAGCAATAAAATTAGATTCCTAAAAAAGTACAGAAGTCAAAAAAATCTCACTTCTAGGACAGCATAAAGTCTTAAGTTTAAAGAAACTGAAAAAAAGTTTGAAATGATGGTTATAATGACAATTACTTGACTCAAAATACCAGAGTGAAAAGGGACTGCCATAAAAAAATGCGACAGACTGAGAAGCTTAAACAACAGAAATCATGCTCAGTCTGGATTTGGTTCCTTCTGAGGTCTCTCCCCTAGATTTGCAAACAAGCAGCCTGTTGTGTCCTCACATTGTCTTTTTTCCATGCACATGCATCCCTGCTGTCCAGTCTTCTTTACATAAGGACATCAATTATGTTGGATTTGTGGTATGTTCACACTGAGAATTCGAGCTTAACCATATTCATTTTGAGGAGAACCAATCAGCCTAACAGGAAGGTAGTCTAAACTCAGTTGAACAGAGATCCCAATTCTTGAGAGGCAGAACTTGGTCTGGTGCCCAAAAGGGTCTAACTTATTTATACTTAGAAGTTCCTGAAGTTTCTGTAAGTCTTTCACTAGTCAGGAATGCTTAGCTGGGATTTATAAGAGACTGATGTCTCCCTGGAACCACTGTATAACCACCTATTCTTACTGAGGGAAAACTAAATTTAGAAGTTTTTTTTGTTTAGTTGACTTTCTTAGAGAAATTTTATGTTTTTAGAAAAAATAGCAGAAATTACAAGGAATTCCCATATAGTCTCTCCTGTCATTCTATAATTACCCATTATTAATTAACATTTTGCATTGGTGTGGTACATTTGCCAAAATTAAGGAACCAATGTTGATACATGTAATTAGCTGACATCTATAGCTTATATTAGGGCTCACTGTTTGTACTATAGACCCTCTGGGTTTTGACAAGGGCATAAAGTCATGAACCTACTGTTGCAGAATCATGCACAATAAGATAACTGCCATAAAATCTCTGGTATTGCTCCTATTTCTCTTTTTCCTCTGCATATTCCTGTAGCAATCATTGATCTTTTTAGTATCACCTGAGTTTCATACTTCTCAAAGTTCTATATAGTTGAAATCAAACAGTGTAAAGCTGTTTGTAGAGACTGACTTCTTCCACTTAGAAATGATCATTTAAGTTTCCTCCATGTATTTTGATAACTCAATAACCATTTTGTTATTGCTGAATAATATTCCATTGTCTGGATGTACCATAGTGTGTTTTTTCTATTCACCTATTAAAAGAGATGTTGGTTGTTTCCAGACTTTGGTACATATCAACAACAATGGCATAGGCATACATGTGCAGGTTTTTGTGTCTTTGGTTCATTTGTTTTTGCTTTGAAATATTTCCAAAAACTATATTTTCCAGGGATATGGAGTTTTTGTGTTGATATGGGAAGTAGAGAAACATTTAATTACTATATTAGACACTGTAGAACTTAAACAGACCCTAAGGTGACTAAGCTCAAAAACCATCTCATCTAAGACTTGCAGTTTAAGAAGAGAAAACAAAGATCTCCAGAAGAACTGAACCATCCATCTGCTTGTAATCTGGTAATGGGAGGATCTGGACCAAGGAGCTGAGACAAGGGGCACTCTCTCACGTCAGGTTACTTATACAACGGTGCTCCTGCAGCCACAGACACACCGTGGCTACTTGATAGAAACACAGTGAGGGTTGAAATTCAAGTAAGGAAATGATGGGGAAAGCAGTCTGTCCATCCCTGGAATGGAAGAAATCCCCAGTCTCCCACAGAATGACAGTAAATGATGGGCAAGGAGAAGCTTGCAGCCTGGTTCGATGGCAGCAGCGTTAATTCATATTCACCTATTCACAGAGTAGAGATGGTTCCTCTGCTTTTATTTATGTTAAACATCAAAGGAAAGAGCCTTTGCTTATCAAAGTCTCCCGACATCCACTGAACTCAAAAAGAGGAAGATTTTAATGAAAGATGGCTCATTACCGAGCTGGAATCTGCACAGGACAACAGATTTAGGAGTTGGAGAAGTAAATTGTTTCATATGAGGGCTTCACTTTTTTATGCTGAAATGTTCAGGTCCTGGGCGGGTCTTTTTTTCCAGAAGCTTCTTTAGATTATCACTTGTTAGCTTTCTTCTTTTGCTGTTATTTTGCAAATGCATGAAGAGCCCTAGGTTATGTTTGGTTTGGGCTGTGGAAAGGGAAGAGGAAGAAAAGGACGAAAGAAAAAGATGAAGACAGGAAAAAAGAGAAGCTAAAGAGTAAGCAGGGGGGAGTAAAAAATTGATGTTTTTCCTATTTTATATTAAGAAATTATATAAGAGAGCAAAAATGTCTGTATTTTACTTATTTTCTTATAAATTATCTAATGGTCAGTTATTGAAAATTCTACATGAAATTGAAAATTCTATGAGCACAATTGTTGTTACAACCAAATATAACAATAGTACATTCACTTTTTCCCCCCAAACTCTCATTACTGTCTCATATTTTATCAAGGCATAAACAAGGTTAGAAATCACTGATATTGGTAATTCTGTATTTCACATTACTCATTTTTTATTTGAGCCTAGAGTGCATTTCTAATTTGGAAACCCATTTACTGTGTAATATAAGATAACTGAAAAGTAATTTAGAACATAGGGTGAGGCTGGATTTGAGTTCAACGCAGATATAATAATTCATGTAATCCTTGAAAGTATAAATAAGTGGAAATAATTTCCTCTTTGTGAAAACGCTGAGCTGCATGTTACCATGGATACTGAATGTTGCTTAGAGTCTTGTTCTTTTCTTAGCAAAGACCATCTCAAACATTAAGACCATGCTGTATTCCCAGCATCCTTGTTGGATTTATGAGAGAAAACCATGCACAGTTATCTATAATAAAACCTGGTTCAAAAAACAGATCTTTGCTTGTTTCTAAAGGAAGAGTTGGTCATCTCTGAAGCTATTGTCTTGTAATATCCTTGACAAAACTGCTGTGGCTGGATTTGGGGCTATATGAGACAAGTGTGTTATTCAGGGGAAAAATCAGCTTTTCCCATGATTTCAGCAAATGTCTAGAAATCCACATGTTTTATTTGGGCAATATTTAATTATCTCATGTATGCTTTCTATTTCTGGTTTATGCAGACTGAATCACAATAATTGGTTAAATTATTTTTTGTTTTGTTTTATTTTTTGACAGGCAGAGTTAGACAGTGAGAGAGAGAAACAGAGAGAAAGGTCTTCGTTCCGTTGGTTCACTCCCCAAATGGCCGCTACGGCCAGCGTGCTGCGCCAATCCAAAGCCAGGAGCCAGGTGCTTACTCCTGGTCTCCATGCAGGTGCAGGGCCCAAGCACTTGGGCCACTCTCCACTACCTTCCCTGGCCACAGCAGAGCGCTGGACTGGAAGAGGAGAAACCGGGACAGAACCGGCGCCCAAACCAGGACTAGAACCCGGAGTACCAGCATCTCAGGTGGAGGATTAGCCTAGTGAGCCATGGCGCCAGCCGGTTAAATGATTTTTCGGCCCAATTGAGATATTTTTTATTTAATTTAAGTTATACAAGTTTCATGTATTTCATATATACAGGTTTAGGAACCTATTGTGATTAAAAAGGAAATCTATTTGGAAAAATTGAACTGTTAGCTAAGTGTATACCACCACACCTTTATAGCAGTGCTAGGAAAAAAAGAGGAATGAATTACTGTAGTGCTGGATAGGTTATATACCTTACATTGCATTAATAACAAATCTTGGCTCACCTGGAAGACCATCTGATACAAATCTTGGTTACTGCAGGGGACCCCAGATCTCTTTAGTTGTTTCTCTTTTTGTAAAATAATTTTTATTATATTTATATAAGGTATACAACATAATGTAGTGGGAAGCATATGGATAATAAAATGGTGTGAAGCAAATTAGTATATCCCTCATCTCACTCAGCTACATTTTTATTGTTGTTGTTTTTGTGGTTATTGTACTTCTTTATTTATTTTGTCTTACTCCTCAGTGAACACTCAGTTGAGAGGAAGTGCTGGGTTATAACTAAGACTCTAGCAACACAAAGCCTGAAACATTAAGTCAGTCTTGAGGGAGGAAATTTTATACCAGGAGGAAGGAAAGTAGAGAAGTCCAAATGTTGAAAATTATGGAAGCAAACTTTTTACTTGACTTTCCTTTTGCTCCATATTTCTGCTGCCTGTTTAGAACTTGCCAAGTTACACAAATGGGCTCTTCATTTGAGCACAGTGGTTTTGCTTTCATTCCACATTTATAAAAAGATATGGCAACTTAGGAGGACAGAGCAAGGAGGGGCAAATTCTCCATTTTACACACATGAGAGTGCTTGGAATATTTCAGACTACAGGAGAATACCAAACACATCCATGTAACATGAAGTAATTTATATTTAATAATCCAATGATATAAAAATACAGATAGATGAATAAAAACATTTCCTTGAATTCATCATTTTAAAAATTAAGTGTCCAGTATAAATTGGTGGTGAGACATAATTTTTGTTTTGAAATTTTGAAATATAATTGATTATTTAAGAAATTATTTTCTCCACTGCGACTTAAAGCACAAGGTTCTGTAATATTCAAACTTAATCATAACATTAAAAGTGATAATTACAAATGGACAATGATTTTCCACATTCTCTCTACCTCTTACCCAAAGTAACATTGATCCAAAGGAATAGCGGTATGAATCATCTGGAATGAGTATAAGGAGTTTTTATTTCTTCATTGACTTAATGAGACTGAGAATTTCTTTCTCCTTAGTATAAGTAGAGGATCTCACAGGTATATGCATTATAAATCGGGGAAAAAAAGCCAACACACATTTAAACCACACAATTAATAGGAAATTAAGCACCATGACAAAGAAGGATTTAGCCTCAACACCAATTCAATTAATGTAGTTAGTAATAATAGAATACCAAAGACTGGGTAGTTTATAAGGAAAAGATATTCCTCACAGTTCAGGAGGCCAGAAAGTCCAAGCTCTGAGGAGTGCCTTTTCTGCTGCATTGTCACGTGATGGGAAGAGTCACATGGTGGGAGGATGAGAACATGAGTAAACCTGCTCTCATGGGCCCTTTTCATAATGGAATTAGACTATCTGGGATAGAGGAGTCCTAATGATTTTTATAATAATTAATATCATTACAACAGGCTAAAGAAAACTCATGTGAACATATCAATAGACACAGGAAAAGAATTTGACATAATCCAGCACCCATTCATGCTAGAAATTGTCATTAAACTAGGAGTACATGAGGACTTTCACAACTTGATGAAGGGTATCTCCTAAGATAGAACAGTTGTTACCAGGGTTTGAGGTTGTTGGTGGTAGTTAGACATTGGCCCCAAAATACAGAATTTCAATTGGATAGAAATAAGCTCAATAGATCTACTATATAACATGGTACTATGGTTAATGACAATATATTGTGACATTAAAAATTACTAAAATAGATTTTAAATTATTTCTACACACATAAGTGATATCTGAAAAATGCATATTAGCTTGACTTAGCCATTCTACAATGTACATATTTCAAACATCTATACATAAGTTATACAATCTTGGTTAACTTTAACAGTAAAGGAACAATATATTCACAAAACCTATGACTAACATTATATTTAAAGTGAAAAAACTTTTAGATTGCCCACTAAGTTCAAGAACAAAGCAAGCATATAACCTCTCACTTTTGATTTTCAACATCATAGTGAAATTTCTAACATAATAAGACAGAAAATGTGGATGTGGGGCAAACGTATTTGGGAGGAAGGAATGAAACTATCTGTGTTTGATATGACCATCTGTGTAGAAAATCAGAAGGACTCAACAGAACTCTCTAGAACTAAGACTTGATTATAGCAGGGTTATAGGATACAAGGTTAGCATGAAAAACAGTGCTTCCCTATACAGTAACACTAAGCAAGTGGAATTTGAAACTGAAAATACAGTATCTTTGAATTAAGTACCTCCAATATGAAATACTTAAGTTTAACTAAATATATACAACTCTATTTGTGGAAAACTGCAAAACTCTGATGAAACAATAAATGCATAAATATTCCATAATCATGGAAATATTCATTCTTGTTATTATGTCAGTTCTTTCCAACTTGACCTATATATAGTCAAAGGAATCTCAAGAAAAGCTTCAGCAACTTACATTAAATATATTGACAAAGTGGTTTTAAATGTTATAAAGATAGGCAAAAGATCTAACATAGCCAATATAATATTGAAGGAATTGTACAAAGTTAGAGAACTGAACATTGCTTGACTTTACAGCTTACTCTAAAGCTACAGTAATCAAGATGGAATGATGTTGGTGAAAGAATAGATATGTAGATCAAAAGAACAAAATAAACAGCCCAGAAATTGATCCAGAAAGGTATAGTCAACTGATCTTTGTCAAAAGAGTAAAGGCAACATAATGGTGTAAAAGTATACTTCTCAGTATATGGTGCTAAAAGAACTGGATGATCCACATGTCGAATGTTTTTATAAAGAAATCTAGATACAGATTATCATGGTTTGAATGCGTTTTGCAGAATTCATGTGTTAGAAATTTAATACCCAATGGGACAGGGTTGATGGGTAGGGCTTTGTTGGTAATGTTCATGTCACAAGGGATCCTCCCTCCTGAATAGATTAATTCCATTATAAAAAGGGATCATGGCAGCAGGTTCACTTGTGCTCTCAGCCTTCTCCCATGTGATTCCTTCTGTCACGTGACAATACAGAAGGAGGGCACTCATCAGATCTTGGACTTCCTCTGAACTGTGAGAAATATCTGTTCCCTATAAACTACCCAATTTTAGGTATTCTGTACACACAGCAAGACCTTATTTCCTTTCAAAATTTAACTTCAAATGTATCACAAACCTAAATGTAACACAAAAAACTGTAGAACTCTTCAGAGAAAATCTAGATGAACTTGGGTTTGACAATGACTTTTAAAATACAACACAAAAGGCACAATTCATGAAAGAAAGAATTGGTAAGCTGGACTTCATTAAAATTAAATCTTATTCTGCTAGAGTCTTGAGTGAAGGGAAAAAAACACAGATTGGCAGAAATATTTTAAGAAGATATAGTTCATAAAGGATTGTCCTTCAAAATGCACAGCAAATACTTGAAAGTCAAGAAAACAATCCTATTTAAAAGCAGGCCAAAGTTTTTATCAGGTATCTCAGCAAAGCAGACATATAGACAGCAAATAAGCATATGGAAAGATATTTACATCAGATATAATCAGGCAAATGGAAAAATGAATTCACAATGAGATATCAGAACTGGTAAGAGTATGTGCTGGCCAAGATATGGATCAACAACAACTCTCATTCATGGATGGTGGGAATGCAGAATTGGTACAGCCAACTTTGGGAGACAGTTCGGAAGTTTCTTAAATGAGCCCACTCTTACCATATGATGCAGAAATTGCATTTCTTGGTACAGAGTTGACAATGTATGTCCATACAAAACCTGCACACAGATATTTACAATAGTTTTATTTATAATTCCCCAAACTTTTTTTCGGTAGATGAATGGATAAATGTTGGAACCACTAACCAGTGGGCATTATTCGGTACTAAAAAGAAATGCACTGTCATCCCATGAAAAGACACAGAGGGAATTTAAAAGCATATTAGTTAAAAGGAGCCAACCTGAAAATACAAAATATGATTCTGACAGTATGATGTTTTGGAAAAGGCAAAACTATACAGACAGTCAAAAAGATCAGTGGTTAGGAGCTGAGAAAGGAATAAAGAGTGGAGCGTAGAGGATATTTACAGCAATGAAACTCCTCATAAAAGACTCTAATGATAGGTATATATCATCATACGTGGTCAAAACCCAATGAAAGTGCACCAGCCAAAGTGAACCCTACGGTACATTGTGTACATTGGGTAACCATGTAAGCATAGGTCTATCAATCCTAACAAAAATACCACTCTTTAGGGTATACACAAGTGAAGGCAGAAGATACATGATCAATCTTTCTACCCTCCACAATTTTTCTGTGACCTTAAAACTACTGTAAAAAAATAAAGCCTATATAAAGCACTTAAAATATTATCGTTTTAAAAAAAAGCAAACTAAGTACTTTCATAGCTTTAAGTTTTTGATTAAAGGATTTACTGGTGAGGTAACTGGAAAGTTGAGTCTGTTTGTCCAGACACTTGCAGTATGTAAATCAATCCTCAACTTGGCCTTTTGTTTTGCTTCTTAGGTCGGATGTTGCCATTTTGTATAATGATCGCTCCGTCCTTGAGAATCACCATGTGAGTGCAGCTTACCGACTCATGCAAGAAGAAGAGATGAATATTTTAATAAATTTATCCAAAGATGATTGGAGGTGAGTTTCAGGGGGAACCTAGAGGAAAATTAACTTAGGGAAAAGGATAGATTATGTGATACAAAGTGAAGGAAACAGGTAAAATTAATGCCTTCCCAATACTACAAACTCAATTACCATTGACTGGATAAATCTGAGAAGGATAAGTACCTAAAAGACTTTGATGAGGAACCAGGATCTCTTAAATGTAGCTGAAATATTTCCAGGTGAATTCAACATTCACATGCATGTACAAGACTGCACACCACATAAAAATAATTCAAGATACACAATGATACACTTTCTTCAACTGAATATACTGAGCTGTATTCAGTATGTACATTATATAAATTCAAAATTTGAGTGTATTTATTCCTTCATTTGTTATTTTTCTGTATGTACATATATTGTTATTCTTTATAAAACAATCAAAAAATTTCAACGTGTGGTGGAAAAACTCACAAATACACTAAAATGATCTTAGTGCAGAGGGAAAGGTCGTGTGTTTCTCCAGGGCATCTGTTTGTTTAAAACATTGCATGAAATGGTGATTCTTACTGTCATAGAAGGAAATAACCAGATGTAACACCACCACTCTGCATAACCTTGCCTCTTTCTCCTCCTCCTCTTTTGGTTGTCATCATGCTCATATTTTGACTAGAAGTTTGCCAGATCTAGCAAATAAAAAGAAAGGACCTTGAGTTCAACAAAAATTAACTTCAGATAAGCATAAATATTTTTTAGCACGAGTCCTAAATATTCTAAGGGACACTTATACTGAGACAAAAAAAGTGATTATCTTTAATAAATTTATCTTTAAATAATTTATCTCTAATAAATAATTTTTAATAAATATTTAATATATTTAATATTTAATAATATTAAATAAATATCTTTAATAAATACTTAATATTTAATAAATAATTTATCTTTAATAAATATCCTGTTAAGAAGTAATGGACTCGGGGGCCGGTGCTGTGGCATAGCGGATAACGCCACCACCTGGAGTACTAGCATCCCATATGGGCACCAGTTCGAGTCCTGGCTGCTCCTTTTCTGATCTAGCTCTCTGCTACAACCTGGGAAAGCAGTAGAAGATGGCCCAAGTGCTTGGGCCCATGTACCTGCATGGGAGACCTGGAAGAAGCTCCTGGTTCCTGGCTTCGGATTGTCGCAGCTCTGGCTGTTGCAGCCAATTGGGGAGTGAACCAGTGGATGGAAGACCTCTCTCCGCCTCTCTCTCTCTGCCTTTCAAATAAATCTCAAAAAAAAAAAAAAAAGTAATGGAGTGAAAAAGATTCTAACATGTAAATATCAAAAGATTTGTGTTTATAAAGCAAAATTTAAAGAAATATCCAAAAGACAAGTGACATGGGATCAAGAACTGCCTTTTAAGAACAAACACAAAACAAAAGGTTAACAAGCAAGCCATAAACTCCCAGGACTACTGGTCTAAATTTCCAACTCTTCCTGATTGCCCATGCCGCTTCCAGATAGGAGTTCATATTTGCAACTGTATAAAGTACTAAAGGAGAGCGAGGGATGAGGAACTTTATTTTGGGACCTAGTTCAGACCTTTCATTTTAGATTAACATTTCCCTTCTATACAATGTTGCCTAGTTTTATGTGTTACTGATTGATTATTGACAATATCTAGCATTTACTGATCACTTATGTACAAAGCACAGCATGTTAGATTCCAGATTTCATAAAACTTTAATCTCATTTTATTTAGAATATCAAGTGAACCAAAATATTTGTGTTAATATAGATCTTGTCATAATTTGAGAAAAAATGTAATTGAGAACAATTTCCTAACTACTAGTAATAGCTTCATTTACCTTAATGTTGGGATAAAAGTGTTTTTTTCTTTTTTTTTTTATTTTTTGACAGGCAGAGTGGACAGTGAGAGAGAGAGACAGAGAGAAAGGTCTTCCTTTGCCGTTGGTTCATCCTCCAATGGCCGCCGCAGCCAGCGCGCTGCGGCCAGCGCACCGCGCTGATCCGATGGCAGGAACCAGGAGCCAGGTGCTTTTCCTGGTCTCCCATGGGGTGCAGGGCCCAAGCACCTGGGCCATCCTCCACTGCACTCCCTGGCCACAGCAGAGAGCTGGCCTGGAAGAGGGGCAACCGGGACAGAATCTGGCGCCCCGACCAGGACTAGAACCCGGTGTGCCGGCGCCGCTAGGCAGAGGATTAGCCTAGTGAGCCGCGGTGCCGGCTGGGATAAAAGTGTTTTAAGCAAACCATTCAATATACAAAAAGCAGATTAATAGCTGCTCATGGCTCCCATCTCAGAATCCAATTGAACTGAGTATCCACAATTTCTAAGAACTTCCAATATGTGTGGTTGCTTTGAAAAATAATCTGATCATATCATCCAGATGTAAAACATCTTTGACACAAAATCACAATTAAAGTTACCCCAAATCTTTGATTTAACTCACACCATGAGCCATATATTTTTGAAACAAATTACAGTTCTTATGCAAGCAACTTTTTGCCTATCTGCACAGAGCAAACACCAAATTGTGTAATCTGCAAGCCTTGCTGTGGTGGATTGTTTTCTACCTAATGCGAAGTTGTTAATTATAGGCTTACCATATTTACAGTGTCTTGGTTAAAATTTCCAATATGGGCAGGTGTCATGGTGCAGTGGGTTAAGCAGTAGCTTGGTATACCCACATTCGACAATGGAGGTTCCTGGGATCAAGCCCTGGATACTCAGCTTCCAATCCAGCTTTCTGCCAGTGTGAACCCTGGGAGGCAGCAGAAGATGGTCCAAGAATTGATTCTTTGCCACCCATGTGGAAGACCCAGATGGAGGCATCTTCCTTCAGCCTGGCCCAGTCCTAGCTGTTGCAGGCATTTGGAGAGTGAACCAGCTGATGGATGATCTCCACCTATCTGTCTCTCTTGTTCTGCCTTGCAATGAAAATTTCTCATATTAATTATACAGGGAGAAGTTCCAAAAGCTTAAACAGAGAATCTCCACTCACTCTAGCACCTTGGCTTCTCTGGGGTTCTTATGATGGACCACTCCTTGGTGCCAACCTTCCAAGTTCCAACTCTCAAGAGAGGAACTCTAGCGGTTCATTCTTATTCCAAACACTGAATAGATGTGTGACTGGCCCAATGACTCAGTCTCCCCTGGTAGGAAATATGAATACCCTGTCATCTAATGAAGATTGAGTCTTAATATTCATGCAAAGCAACTACAACGTAGTTCTATTCAGTACTTAGACTAAATGAATACTAAATAACTAGTACTGGATTTGCTAATAGCGATTTTACTAAAAAGATGCAAAAGCAGAGTCTTGAGAATACAAGCCTTTCTTATCTGTGTCATTTCTGAGACAGGAGGCTTTTAGTTTTGTTGACCATTTAGATTTAGAACGTTCTCAGCCCCACTGGGCTATTTTTCTTTTTGCTTCCAAAGCATCCAGATACTCTATTTAAAATAATGTTTCTTGAAACTGGCTAAAAATCCTTTCAGATAGAAAAAATTTAGGAATTGAAAGGGGAGGAGGGTTGTGGTAGTGTAGCGGTGGGAAGGGGAAGCCTTCCTTTCTGCAGGGGAGATGATAAACAGCGGTAACTTCTTAAATCAATGGGAGTTAAAGTTAATCGCATGCTTCTTGTAGTTACTTTTACATTTGAAAAGTGTCATCCTGTGTCCATGTCCCTTAAGAAAACTAAAATGTGATGAGGGGAATTGAAGGAACTGTTCCAGTTGAGAACAATAAAGGGCAGATGAACGTTTCTCCTTTTGATGATTCTACAGGGATCTTCGGAATCTCGTGATTGAAATGGTTTTATCTACAGACATGTCAGGCCACTTCCAGCAAATTAAAAATATAAGAAGCAGCTTGCAGCAGCCGGAAGGGTAGGTTATTTTCCTTTGTCTTGTGAAAGTTTCCTGGAAACTACATCAACACTGTGATTGGTTACTTTGTTCAATAATTTGACCATATCCTTGGTTTGACAGGATTGATAGAGCCAAAACTATGTCCCTGATTCTTCACGCAGCTGATATAAGCCACCCAGCCAAATCCTGGAAGCTGCACTACCGGTGGACCACAGCCCTAATGGAGGAGTTCTTCCTACAGGTGCCTCTTGCACACTATGCACATGTTTATGGAAACCGTCACTCTACATATTGATATATACTTTTCTGAACACAATCCAGGCCTGGTAACTTCTTTTTATCAACTGTCTCCAAGATATTCTTGAGGATTTTCACTGATGTATTAGTGTTTCAGATAAATAGACCTATGTAGTAAATTACATATTTTAAGGAGAGTCATCTTGGGTGTCAGATGCTATTCTCAGGAAATAGTAAGGGAGGGATTAGAATTGTTGCCTGCTATTAGGAGGTAGCTGCTAGAGCAAAGACAGCAGATGGCTTTTGTAATAAAAAGAGAAAGATATGTAACATTTCTGTGTACTAACGTTTAGTCACATATGCATAGCTGTAATGGGGACCACAGGGAAGTTTAGTTGTGTGAAGATGTGCCTGTCTAACTATGTGTGTGTGTGTATGTGTGTGCATACACACATTCTTTGTGAAAAAGCAAACCTGGACATAGATAATGGTCCATGTTGTCTGCCACAAAGATATATTAATTTTCTCCAGTGTACTGTTCTGACCCCACTTCCAACTGGGGTACTGCAATACAAGTGTGATGCAAACCACCCAGAGTTAGCATCAACTCCTACGAGGTAGAGTCTCAGACTTCCACATGATTAGTTCTGCTTCAGTTGTCAGTCACCAGTAGGGCCACAGGACACCAGGACTTCCAACTCACCAGTTACGAAGTCAGGATTTCCTATGAGCCTTCGTAGGTCTTGTAACTTGCTGAAAGTCCTCTTGGAATTCAGGAGGGTCCTACAGTTACAACAACAGTTTCATTAGAAAGGATAAGGTGGTATAACAGCCAAATGAAGAGATGCTTAGGGAAAATGTGGGAGGGTCCTGGTGAGCCAGCCAGGGATGGGCCAGGCTGAAACCAGAAATATGGAGCTGAATTTTGGTCTCCCACATGGGTGGCAGGGAACCAACAACTACTCTGCTACTTTTCCCAGCCATTAAAAGGTAGCTGGATAAAAACCTGAGCAGCTGGTACAGGAGGCCAGTGCCCATATGGGATGCCTGTATTGTAGGCAGGGGCTTTACCTGCTACACCACAATGCTGGCCCCCAGAACAACTATAATTAAAAGGCTGACAATATTAGGTGTTACCAAGAATATGGAACATCATATATTGAAAGTAGACATATCATACATAGATGGGGGCCATATAAATCTTTACAAACACCATGGAAAACTACTGCATAGCAGCTTCTAAAGTTCATATTCCTGTGATCTACCACTTCTTCCCAAAGGTATATCAACCAGATAAAGTACTGTTCATGCCCGTGAGATGTCTTATAAAGGTGATCATCACAGTATTGCTTATAGTATCCCTATAATAGGAACACTCCAAGTATCCACCAAAAGATAGAATGGATAAAATCATGAAATAGTCATACAATAGAGTATCATGCAACAATAAAAATTAGACTAATAACACTCACACAAACAACAATCCCCAAAACATAGTTTTATTCCATTTATATGAAGTTAAAAAACTTGCAAAGTTAATTTATGTTGATATAAACCAGAGCAGTGGGTGCCTATAGTGGGTGGACCTCTTTGTCATTTTTGGTGCCTGGTAAACTGACTCACATATCTGACTAGCAGAAATTAAAAACACATACAATATGAAAGGTTAAGTCTTGGGAAAGGTACAACATCATTCTACTTGGAATATTTCTGTTGTCTACATTTTCTGATTATGTTGCAAAGAGTAAGGAGGTGTAAGGGTTTTCTTTTGTTTTTAAGAGTGGGTGATAACAAGATTTTGTATAACCCCAAAGTGTTTACAAATAGGTAGTCTTTGCTTGAATGCCCTTCTGGCTGCAAAACAGCCAAAGAAGAGAAAAGCAAGGATATTTATATGGACTATTCTAAAATCAAACTATCTCGGTTAGTATTGCTTCATCTCTCCCAAAATGAAAATCTCAGATCATCACAAATTGATTTAGGACTTCAGCTTTGAGTGATAGAATTTTGTACTGAAATACCATTTTTCAGTTTCTGGAATTTAATGAGGGAATGATTTTCAAATGCCCTTCAGAGGTGTATTTAGTAAAACAGAATATGGAGTTAAAAGTCAAAGCAATCAAGTTTGAACTGACATCGAATGTTTTTGAAGCAAAGCAAGTTTATCAATGGGAGACTTGCATTAAAATATGGTATTGACTCCAACAGGTAAAATGTTTTCTTGAATTCAGCTGAATTAATCTCAGAGCACTCTTGCTTCTGAAACTTCTTGTTACATGCATTGTTCAGAATGCATTTAATATAAGCTATTAAAATGGATCTGTGTATCTGTGCAGATTTCTATAAACTGGCAGAACTGCAGTGGTTTTACATATGATTTCTCTGTTTATCATTACATAGCCATCTGTGAAACTTATCAATTTGTCAAACTTACTGTAATGATAGATACTTTCTTCCTATGCATCTAGCTTGAGTAGTTGGAATTTTTCATCTCAGTAAAAACAGCATTTTTATACAGCACTTTGTAAATAAATTCCTTCATTCCTTCAAAATATACCAAGAACTTAAATCCTGCATCTTATAAACCACTGGCCTCTACTAGAGGTTATGAAGCAAATCAAAGCAGGTCTGAAGAATTCATCAGGGCCCTCAGTTGTAGTATAAAGGTGAACATTTAATGGTTCTTGCTAGAGAAAATATTTTATGTATGTTGTTCAAATAGAAACTAAACAGTGTGAAGTGGAGCCGCAATTGGACTCTGCTTCAAAAAACCTAAGGGTAACTTCTAGCTTTTATCTTCCAGAAGTGGTGGGCATGAATCTTCACATTCTTACGTGTACACGTTCTGCCTCTTTCCCAGGCTAGTGGTGAAGAACAAGATGACAGAATGAACGCAAGAGGGCTTGGCACACTCTCAGCCATGACACATAGTGAAGAATGGGTGGCATTTGATAACCTTCACAGTCTGTTTTAAGCTTTATATTTTTCTAAGACAAACCATCAGATACTCATTGATTGAAAGATTTCATAGTTAAAGTTGAGCTGTAAATTATCTAGGTACAATTTTGGAAACACATTCTCAATACAATTACAGGGATTAAAAGTAGTCAATTAAGTATTTCTTTTTCTGCAGAATATAGCACCAGATTTTCAATTCCTTCAACAGGTTTGGAACAAAAGTAGAGATAGGATACAAATTTCAAAAAAATCAAAACAGACTGAGTAGATTTTTAGAAATTTCAAGAATAAGAAAAGTGATGTGTATATCAATTAATATTTCATAAATATGCAAATGGTTTGGGGATATTTGACTTCTAAATCAATGTATTTTTAGCTTGTCTACCAAGCTCATTTTATTCAAGTATTTCTGGAGGGCAAACCAGTATAAACTATGCTATTTGTATCATTCTTAAAAATTCCATCATTACCCCAATCTTTGGTACAACTATTTTAAGTTCACACTCTAAAGCCACGAGAATTACATACAGAATTTGCAGTCCTGAGAAATGTATATTTATGACTGAGTGAGCAGCTGAGGGTAAAGTAAAAGCAAATTTCCATCGCTAACACATTTTCAAAATAATCATGAGATATTCGTGATTGATGCCCTCTGTAACTCTGTACTGTCGTAGGTAGATTTGGAAGAAACTTCATTTCTACTATGACTGACATTAAAGGTCTGAGATGGAGGTTCCAGCACTCTCCAGAAAATATAATTAAAGGAAGACAGTTTTGGGGAGGAGGTTTGATAAATAATTATTTGAAAGGCAAATGAAGACAGATAGATCATGCATGCACTGATTCACTTTCCCAAATATCTACAACAGCTGGAGCTGGACCAGCTGAAAATCAGTGAGCCTGGAACTCATTCCAGGTCTACTCTGTGGGTGATAGAGACCCAGGTACTTGAACCATCACTGCTGTCTCCCAGGGTATAGCAGGGACCTAGATGCAGCACTGGAGCAGGGACTGAATTCCAGGCATTCCAATATGGGATGGGCATGAACCAAGCAGTGCTTTAGTCACTGCACTGAACACCTGCCTCAAATTTTTCGTTCTTAGTCTTTTCTCCAACATACATTAAGTTGACAATGTTAATATATTTTTAAAATTAAATTTTAAAACTAGATGCTCCTCTTAAAATTTGTTCTTATTTTATATTGTGAACTTAACATAATTTTCCTTCTAATAGCTTTGCCACCCATAAAAATATTTGAGCAAAAACGTACATTAGTTTATAAATGTTAGCCAAGGTAATAATTGCAAATACAAGTTATTTTGAAATGTCAAAATGGCAATTTTTCCCTAAAATGTATACAATATTCAATGTTGCTAGAAATAGTACAAAGTGTGTCATTTCAAAAATCAATTTTATTTCTACTGGTAATAAAAATGTTTTTAGAATATTCTCAGCCAAGAATCTGGCATAAAAAGTCATAGATATCACTTTCAAAATTGTATAATATTAAAAACTGCAGCTATGAGCCAGGGTAATAACTTAAAATGTAAACATCAGAGCTTCTAGTTTAAAAGACATAAAAGTATTGTAAACATCGACTGCATAGAGACTTGTAATGGTGTATAAATCATTTATAATACTCACAAAAATACAATTATAACATATCATAAATTTTACCAAAGGTAAATGTGTTAGTTGCTTTAATTGTCAAACATTTAAATAGTTCTGTGGCTTTGTTACAGTTTAGACGGTTTTTTTTTTTTTTAAGGAATGAAGGTAGGTAATCTGATTACATAAATAGAATGTACAAAGAAGCCTAAACTAGTGTTATTTTCCCTCATTCCCCTCTTTCAATTGCCCATAGAAATAGTGGTCCCTGAGATTCTGCCCTCAGCCTCACCGTGGCCTCTACGCCTGTGGTCAGGGGCTTCCTGAATGTTTGTTGTTAATGTTTCTGGGCGTAAAACAGGTTTCAATGCAAGAGGGTTCAAGATTTCTACACTTCTCTCCTTCATTTCTTTAAAAATGATAGAAAATGCTTCAGTTTCAGGGCGGGGGGGGGGGGGAGGAGTACTGGTAAGCCATGGGATTAGACGCCTTGTTGATTTGATAGTTCCAATGGCTGTCAGAGCATTTTACAGTTAGAAAAGCACAAAAACAGTTCAAGTGCCTTTGTTGTGGCCTTCAAAGGAAGCTCAGCAAACTGCAAGGGGACTGCTAAGACAGGAGTGAGCTGCCAGGCAGAGTGTTCCCATTCTGATGGGGCCACTTTCCCTAGCTCGTGGAACACAGAGCTGAGATCCAGGAATAACATTTTTCACTGGCACTAACTGATTAACTGCTGCAACCACTTGAGTATATCAATTTAAATGCCAGGACATGTGTATGTAAAGTTATTGATTCTTTAAGTGTCTTTTTGGCCTCCTGAAGGCATTAGCCTCAAGGAAACTACAACTTCCAAAAACTATAAATTGAGTGTCCCACAATGCACCTTGCTTTGAGCAGCGATTTCATCTTGATGGACAATGTATATTCTCTATCCAGGGATGGAGTTGGAGTATCATAAAGTTGATCACATTTGGCTTCAGAGATCCCAGCTGGCTTCTTATCTTCCCCCTCTCCCTCAGTAGTATTGCCTCTTTGTTGGGTTTTTAATTCTTCCATAGTCCAGCCCGAAGCCACCCTACTAATCTTGCATTCATGGCCTTTATTCATGCTGAAGAATAACATTTTGAAATATTTATAAATAAATTGAATAATTAATGGACTTCAGCATTCAAATATGCCTTAGGTGAAGAATTTTAGTATTCTAATTTAATTGTGGGGCACAGGAGGGGAAATATTAATCTCTCACTTCATCTATAGGAAGGTCAAGCTGCCTGTATCTATCAAATACCCAAGTCCTAGCTGAAAATGTTGTCATCTAGAAATGTCCAGCAGTCTAAAATTTAGACTCTTGGAAGTTAAATCATAGCAATGGCCTTTTCAGTCCTAGATTATCATTGTTAGCTCTACTAAATACATACATAATATAATAAATTTGTGTTCAAGATATAGCAGAACCTTTACCAATGAAACCGGTTAAATGCAGTTTACCTACATTTAATAAACAATAGGATATAAAATTCACTTGTATCTGCACATATCAAATGAGGATCTACAATATTACATTGCTCATGAAGTCTTTCAGTAGCCTTATTTCTACTTTTAAAATAATGGCACCAATAGGCTCTTACTCATTCAAGGAGAAGCCCAAGAATCATCTTTAAGTCACTCTAACCATCCTTCATGCTACTGAAAATTCATCTTCAAAGGTAGAATCTCCACCACATCAATTCCTTCCTGCATGAAAGAAGAGGTAGAAATACCAATGCCTCTTTATTACATGCTAAATTGAAAACTAATTCTTATTCCTGTGGTTTAAAACCATACAAGATATTCATTTGCCATCATCAATACCTTCATTTGCCTAATGACATTACTGCTATTATGAATTATCATTTTTATTAGCTAAATTTAATGACTTTATAAACGTTAGGCATTATCCTTAGACTTCACAAAAATTATCTGGGTAAGTTTAGAAAAATCCTACTAGGTATATAATATTGTATCTTATTTCTAAAATGATCACAAACTTAGATAACAGATGAGGAAAATTTCTTTCAGTAAAGGCTGTGACATGTCTGAAGTAACAGATAATCCATGAATAGCAGTAATCAATTATCCTCTGACTCCATCACAAGTAGTACTTAGAATTCCCTTCCACACATTCCTTAAGCTGGATCTGAATTTCAGTTACAAGTAGAATTGTTGTTATTCTCTATGAGAGATTAGGGGAGTTGCTTGCAGAGCTCACTGGAATTGTTATCTTCTCTAAGTCATGAAATGGTAAAATGTTCCTGTTTGTGGTTACTTTACCTACTTCTTTTGTGACCATATTTAGAGTTTTACCAAACAATTCTGGTTTCAAAACTTTTTTCCTATAATCCTCATAATCAGATGCCCAGCACATGGGGAATACATCAGAGACCATTCTCAAAGGCATGTGTTGAAATCATGTTATACAGATCAAGCTAAAATTGTTTCAGAGGAAACTGAGTAGAAGGCAAGTTTGAACTCCTTAAATAGATGTGGAGGGCTATGCAAGACTGGGCTACGGCATGAGGGTTTATAGCCAGTAAACCACATGAAAATAGAGTCAGATTCCTTCAAATGGCCAAACACATTCAAGGGAGCAAGAACAAGGAATTCTCTTCCCTTTCTCTCCTAAGCACATTCCCATGAATGCAAGGGAAAGAATAAATGTTTCACAAACCTTGTAATAATAAGTATTTGCCAAAAGCAGACACCTTTATCTTAGGAGATGAAAATCTAATTGCTTCTCGTGTTAAATCTGAACACAAATGCAATTATTTGACATATATGCTCAATCTACTGTAGATATTTATATAATAGTAAAAAGTCATTGACATTTTAATATCTCTAAGAATCTATTAGAATAAAATTATGCACACAGAATGTAGTGTTGAAGGTATGCTGTTATTTGTTGTAGGTTATTTAATAAAACTTGATTAATGACTAGTAAGATGTTTCAAAGTGTTCATATACTTTCCATTTCATAAAACAGCCTAATCTTGAAATCTCAATACTGAAGTCATGCTTGTGTTTTTGGCATTTTTAAAAAGCAGCAGAAAACTCCATGAGCTGGATTTTTAATTAAATGCCAGTACACTGAGATGACTATATTATGTTGCCTTAAAATTTCAAAAGGCAAAGTTTTGCTTTTTTACAATCAAGGGATTGTAATAGTGGAGTAACAGCTCCAGGTTTTGAGAATGTTCCCCTTGCAAGATGTCTGCCAAAAGAGGCCATCTGAGCACAGTTATAAAATTTTTGTTTTATATATTTTGAAAAAGTGACAGTTATGAACAAAAGGAAAGATGTGACTTTTTAAAGGCTTTGTATCCAGTCTGCTCATGACCTTGGTTTTGCCTACCCCAATGTGAACGAACCCACCTTTCTTTTCCACAGGGAGATAAAGAAGCGGAATTAGGGCTTCCATTTTCCCCACTCTGTGATCGGAAGTCAACCATGGTGGCCCAGTCACAAATAGGTAACATTGCAATGGTCGTGGAAAGGGGAAAGGTTCTTATCAGTTTACCAATGTATTCACCATGCTGCTCAAACTCTGCCATGAAAACCTCATTCCACGTTCATGATAGATTTGATCTTTAGACTGATCAATATGATGCTGAATGATAGGAATAAATGAAGCATTTTCAGAATATGCATTCAATGAAGTTGAATTAGTAAATATAAATTTTTATTCTTGTTGTTATCTTTTCACAAGAGGACTTTCTTCCCCTGTAAGAGAATATTTTTTGTTGCTGATTATTTTCTGTGATTTACTCCTTTCAGGGGTGGAGAAGGTCTAGCCAACAGGCAGTATAAGGCCTGCAAAAATCATTTGTTCTGACCCTGTCAAAGCAACTCCAGGCAGGACTTGAAATTCATGTAGCAGGAAAATTTGTAAATTGATAATTTTGTATGATACATGAGTGATGTTATAAATATTAAAATGGCCATTGGCAGAAAAAAAGCTTCCCTACTCCTGCATAGGATAATTCAATAAAAATATGAATGTACCTGTTCTGTTATCACTAACTCATATTCTTTTGGAAAAAATTCTCATGAATAGATAAGCTAACAGGAAATTTGCAAAATGATATTGCTTCCAACCATGTTCAATATCATCTGTATTTGTCTAGGTGTTTCAAGTCCAACCCATTATTAGAAAACATTACTGCAATGCTGGGTGATCCAAATATTTGTCACAGTCATTACTGAGTCAGCATCTTTATTACTGAACTCTATAAGCAATAAGTAGAAGGATCACCACCCTTCCCTCTCCAGTTTGTCCCAGCAACACCTACCACAACGCTGCGGGGTGCTGAGCCACAGAGAGGCTGCTCTCTGGGCCTTTCCCCTTTCTATTCAAGTTCCAACAACTGTTTTTCTAGCCATTGTAACACAAGTGCTTATCACTGTTCAGTAAGTGGGAATGTGGCAGGCTAAGGACCTCATTTGGCCAGCTGAGAAGGCAAGAGTACTCAGGGCTTGCTGCTATATTATAAAGGCATACAATATTGCCAAGTTAAAAGAGGCAATGTCATTTGACAACCTACATATTCCAGGCACTAAAAATCATACAGAACTTTAAATAGCGCCTATGTGGCCAATTAATATTGCCTTGTGTTGATGGCATCAATTAAAATATAAAACTGTTGAAGTTTTTTTGAGTTAAAAATGTGCCTTAATGTATACTAGGAGTAATCCAGTTTCTTGAAATGTGAATTACTTGTATCTGAGCATCCAATAGGTGTTCTTCAAATGTGGCTATCTCCCAGGGCACTATCACTTCAAACCTCTCCCTCCACTTACTCTATTTAGGTGGTGGTCCATTGCTACCACTCAACAAGCACTTGATTTCAAGCAGCAAACCTCACCTGGGACCTTGGGGTGTGGGAGGATACACAGAGCTTAGAAGAGGTCATCTCCTTGTCTTCCTAAACACCGAGTGGTCCCAAAGGACAATGCCTCTTTTCGATCTCGAGGAGTGCTTCAATGGAAAAGTCTTGATTCAATCCTGACATCTCAATGGGATTGACATCTCAAGTGGGATTGATGCTGTCTTCCTGAGATGTTCTCTTCATTGATTTGATAGAACATACCCGCAGGCTGCAAACTAACACTTTACATCCACAGACTAGTAAACAGAAATTTGAAATATTAACATGCTGGCAGAAAGCTCAGACTAATACAGTAAAGGAAAAAAATGTGCTAGCTTTCCTACAGCCTGAGGGGGAAAAAAAAAACAATTTTTGGAACTTTGGTATTATTGCATGTTGGTCAATAATAAAATTTAACAAGTGAAAGATTTTTGGAAGAGGTAATATTCTCCTCATTAATAGAAAATATCTTCACTATCATTAGATCCGAATGTACTATTAGTTTATGAGGTTCTCAAGGGAAGATTCAAAATCAGAAAGCTTAAGTTGTGTCACTTCTACCACTTGAGAAATTTTATATGGCAGTGGAACTTTAAAGATCACATTATTGAATAAAACTAATATCAAAAAGGGAAGGGGTGCCAGAGACCCATCATTGTTACTGATTTTAGAATTCTAGAATTATACCATGGATTAATTTATTAATTTTTGCTTCTGTAGGTTTCATCGATTTCATAGTAGAGCCAACATTTTCTCTTCTGACGGACTCAACAGAGAAAATTGTTATTCCTCTTATAGAGGAAGCCTCTAAAGCCGAGACTTCTAACTATGGGGCAAGCAGGTATTACCATCGTTTTTCGTCTCTGATGAGTGGAGGGAATTTTTCTTGATAATTATCCTAGTTTCTCACAGCTAGGCAGGGAATGCTTACAAGAATTGTTAGGTAGTATTGCCACCTAGTGGCTTTATGTTATACAACATCTGCCTGTGGCCAAACTACTAAAAAAATGGGAAGTACTCAGGAGTGCAGTGAGGAGTGTCCCTAGCCCTTTCCATGCCATGAGGGAGGGAAGAGAGGTGAGCAGCTGCCATCAGCTGAACACCAGGGCTGTGCACCTGCTATCCAGAGTCAAGTCATTTTTGTAAAGTTCTCAGACTTTGTTCCCTCATGCCATCTCCTGACCTTGTGATCTTTTGGTTTCTGTGGTTGTGACTGCCAGTTCAACCACCATTGCGGGCTTACACGCTGCTGATGCACTGAGACGATCAAATACAAAAGGCTTTGTGAGCGATGGAAGTTACTCCCCCGACTACTCCCTCTCAGCTGTGGACCTGAAGAGCTTCAAAAACAACCTGGTGGACATCATCCAGCAGAACAAAGAGCGGTGGAAAGAGTTAGCTGCACAAGGTACAGTTCTCTTAATGTTTCCTTGAATAGCTTCGATTCAGGCAAGCTCTTGGTGCTATTTTTGGAATATAACCCCACTTTGGTCAATCGTGGGAAAGCTGGCTTTTGTTAGATAAAAGGCAATTCTCCCTGTTAATGCCATAGGCTGTAGGAGTGTGTGTGTGTGTGTGTGTGGAAGCAAACTGGGTATGAGAGATGGCACAAAACGGTAATTAAACTTCATGGTACAATAACTTTGTGTTTATGTAGAGGTACTTTTAAGCCTGTGCTTCAGGTTTCTTAAGTGGCTTTTCAATTCTGAACTAAGAAAGTAATACTTAGCAGCAGATTTATTTTTTTTTTACCCTTTGATCAACTTACTTCTTTAAGAATCTCTCTCGGCTGACTCGGTGGCTCACTAGGCTAATTCTCCACCTGGGGCAGCAGCACCCCAGGTTCTAGTCCCAGTTGGGGCACCGGTTCTGTCCCGGTTGCTCCTCTTCCAGTCCAGCTCTCTGCTGTGGCCCGGGAAGGTAATGGAGGATGGCCCAAGTGCTTGGGCCCTGCACCCACATGGGAGACCAGGAGAAGCTCCTGGCTCCTGGTTTCGGATCGGTGCAGTGCGCCGACCACAGCGGCCATTTGGGGAGTGAACCAATGGAAAAGGAAGACCTTTCTGTCTCTTTCTCTCACTGTCTAACTCTGCCTGTCAAAAAAAAAAAAATCTCTCATGAATTAGAAAATTCATTTGTAGTCAGCCTAAGAAACCAAATGAGAAACTTAACTATAATTGTTTCTGACATACTTGCTGGTGTGAATTAATTGGTCCCTCTCTGGTTTGGGAAGTCAGTATCAGAATAGTTGTTATCTTTCAAACTCCCAGATCTGGCCTTTCCACTGTCACACTCCCTTCCTAGAACCCTGCCTCCCTGGTGCACCACACCCCTGCACAGTGGCCTCCTGGAAGTTTATGACACCCAAGTGCCTTTGCAATTATTGTTTCTTCAGCCAGGAATTCTTCTTGGGCTCTTTGCAACTCTGTTTCTTGGCTATTGAGTCTCATGTTTTTAAAATTTTTAACTCAAAAATCATAACCCCTCACATGGGTTTTATTATTCCCATTTTACAGATAAGGAAATTGAGGTAGAGGAAAGTTATGCGACTCTCCCAACATCAGTCCTTCTCTCCAAATTGTGTCCTAAAATCCCATGCTTTGAGCCCACAGAGGCCCTCCTTGGTGACTAAATGTAGTTAGGTCTCGGTCCCCTTTTTCCATCTGAGAGCCCAGTTTAGTCATTTCAAAGCTGGTATCAAACAACATTTATTTTATTATTTTGTTTATTTTACATGGAAGTCTAATGATCACAATAGTCACATGATCTACTTTGTTTTCTAGTGTATCTCCCACTCCTAGCATAGTGCTATGTAATAGAAACTCATTAATTAGGTTTCAATAATTTGTTTAATTGAGGAATTAGTCTCATATTGTATCATGTTATGCCTTAATCTCTAACTAAAAAAATAAAACTGCTGAACTAATACCTCCATCTGCCTCTGTAAGTCACATTTTCCCACATGTAAGACTGAGTTGAAAAGAAATTGCTTCCCATGCAGTGGTCACGCTATACAGACATTACAAGGGCCACTTCATGAGTGTGTAACCTGTGCAGTCACAAAGGCCCCATGCTTAGAATGGTCCTGTGTGGCTAAATATAATCATCTTGCAATCCCCAATAGCTTTTGTGCAAGGGTCTTCATTTTCATCTTGTATTGCCCCTGTAATTATGTTGCCAGCACTAGCCATTACAGAACATCTTTACAATAGTATATAATTATTCAATAAATTATTTCACAATACCAGATTCGAAGGATAGTACTAAATATTGCCAAATTCATCCAACTAGAACTTCAAGTAATCAAAATTACCCCTCTATAAGAACAAATTATAGGGATGGTGCCGTGGCTCACTTGGTTACTCTGCCTGTGACACTGGAATCCCATATGAGTGCCGGGTTCTAGTCCCGGTTGCTCCTCTTCCAGTCCAGCTCTCTGCTGTGGCCCAGGAAGGCAGTGGAGGATGGCCCAAGAGCTTGGGCCCTGCACCCGCATGGGAGACCAGGAGGAAGCACCTGGCTCCTGGCTTCAAATTGGTGCAGCGCCAGCCATAGCGGCCACTTGGGGGGTGAACCAATGGAAGGAAGATCTTTTTCTGTCTCTCTCACTGTCTGTAACTCTGTCAAATAAATAAAAAATTATTAAAGAAAGAACAAATTATACTCAAGATGTTGACCCTAGAGTACCAAAAGATAAAAATCACTAGGCTATAAGTTCTTTGAGCACAGAAATATCTTGCCATTATTTTCTTAGTTAGCAAGTCCCTTACACTGTAGGTGCTTTAGAATTGTTTATGGTAGGAGTTTTTAATCCTTACTCATTTTTAAAGATTTGAAAGTCAGTTTCAGAGAGAGAGAGAGAGAGAGAGAGAGAGACATATCTTCCATCTACCGATTCACTCCCCAGAAGGCCACAGTGGCCCGCACTGGGCCTGGCTGAAGTCAGGAGCTTCTTCCAGGTCTCCCACATGCGTGGCAGGGGCCCAAACACTTACATCTTCAGTTGATTTTCCTAGGCCACCAGCAAGGAGCTGGCTCTCAAGTGGAGCAGCCAGGAAATGAACCGGGGCCCATATGGCCTGCATGGGATGTCGACATCGCAGATAGCAGTTTTACCTGCTGCATCACAATGCTGGCCCCCATTTTTAAAAAACAAGACAAAACAAAACCAAAGAAAACACACTATTCATTTATTGGGAGTTGGGGGAAGAGAGAGAGAGGGAGAGAGACTCACTTCCAGCCACTAGTTCTTTCCCCCAAATGCTCACATCTAGGACTGGGCTAGGGCCAAAGCTGGAAACTGAGAAGTTAAGCCAGAACTTCCCCCTGGATGGCAGGGACTGAACTACTTGAGTGATCACTACTGTCTCCTACCATCTGCACAGGCCTGAAGCTGGAGTCAGGAGCCAGAAATAAGAACCAAGTCCAGGTACTCTGATGTGAGACAGTGTCTTAAAATTTTTATTTAGCAAACACATTTAGCTTTAAGATTTATTTACTTATTTGAGAGGCAGAGTTACAGAGAGAGGGAGAGACAAAGCTGTATCATCAGTGTGCTGGTTCCATCCACTGGTTCACTTCACAAATGGCCACAATGGCTGGAGCTGGGCCAATCCAAAGCCAGGAGCCGGGAGCTTCTTCCAGGTCTCCCATGTGGGTGCAGGAGCCCAAACCCTTGGGCCATCCTCTGCTGCTTTCCCAGGCCATAGCAGAGAGCTGGATTGGAAGTGGAGCAGCCGGGACTCAAACCGGTGCCCATGTGGGAGAGGGAGGCTTAACCTACTATGCCACAGTGCTGACCCCACTGAATAAATTATTAAATGAATGATTTAACTGATGCTTAAACTCCACTTTGAATGTATTACTTATTTAGAAGGGGAAATATATTTTCAGCAGGGAAGAAAGAGGGGAGGGAAATGATTTCTGATATCCCTCCTATGAGTCAGACATTATCCCATTTCTTCCTACCCCTCAAAGTGGAAACTACTGTACTTATTTTATGAATATGGAAGCTGAGGATCACACCACTCCAAAGCATGGGAATCAAAGCTGTCCAATTTTGTAACCAAAGTTTTGGCCTTCAACTCTGCTACCTCTTCTCATATTGGCCTTTCAAGAGATTGGAGTGAAAATAAAATAGGAGATTTAAAAAAATTGGGAAAAGTTAAAGTATTTATCTAGTGATAAAAATCCAGAGACTCTAATAGGCCAAACTATACTGTCCTTTACGAAGGTTTTAACATAAATACCCGCTCAACAGTCTTTAAAATAATGAACCCCAAACATCAGCCCACCACCTGGACTCTTTGTTGTAAACCTGGAGGGAAATTTGTTGTCAGAAATGGATTAAGGATTACAATTTCTTCCTTTCTAACAAATGTTCTGGCACTATGCTCTGTTGAATATTTTGTTGAGAACAGATAGTACAATTTTGATACGTAAAATGTTCTCATTTTTCATTGCTGGAATTGAGAAATAATTCAGATGTTCAATGAGGAAATGTCTAACACAGGTTTGAACATAGGCATTTTGACTTTGGTTAAATTGAAATCATAGTATACACTGATAAACCCCAGTGGGTGCTTGCATATAGTATAACATTTTGAGTAAACAAATAATGCCTAATTTCTTTGCATTCTTGGGTTTATATTTTCAGTGCAATGATAAACTAGGCAAACTTAGGAGAAATACATAAAGCTAAAGACTAAATATATCCAAAGCTAAAATTTTAAATGCTAGGAAAATATTAAGATATTGCTGGCATGAAATGTATACTTTCAGAACCTGCTTGCATGAAGATAGAACAAATTCAGGGGGATAAAAAAATTTCAGAGCTAGACTCTCCCCTGACATTATATGCTTATTCCTGCCACAATCATGAGTATGCAGAGTAGATTTAGAATTTATTAGGTTTATGCCAGAAGTACAAGTTTTATTCTACATCTTCAAATCCTGCTAATAGAACTCACCATTTTAATGATAAAATAAAGATGTAAAATTTAAGAGTAAACAAAATTCAATACCCATAACAAATACTTAATTGTTATTTGTTTTCCCATTTTTATTACTTATTTCTTGATTAACCCAGTACAATTACTTTCCTTTGTGATTTGAAATGTTTATGCTATATTCTTATTTTCATGATTAATTGGAAAGCTTTGAATGCATAAATAGTAGTAGTAGTGAAGTTAATCAATAACTTTACCTTTTCACCAAATAAAACATTTTAGAAGCCTTAATGTCTAAAATTTCCCTCAAATTAAAGACTTTATATTAGTAATAATTACTGAAATTTGAGAATATGAGTATTGCTGACCTTTGTTTCGAAAAATCAAGATAGTGCTAATGGCAGAATTACAAAATAGGATACAGACATCTAAGGTCTGAATGATAGGAGCTATGAATGAT